ACCGACTAAAAGAAAAGACGACCGATTTCTTAGACTTAACTTAAGGTTCGTTTCGTGTTTAAAGGTATTGTTTTTCTTTCTAATCTCCACCGGTCTTTAAAAAGTCCTCATTTTGGATTTGAATTCAGAACGCGCACCGGGTTTTGTTTAGTTCTGCACGAGAATATAATGTAATGTCAAGAACGTTCTCGCAACAGAACCAACGCGAAGAAAACTACTGAGAGTAGTTTGAACGGGAACAAAATGCGAACAAAACCCTCGGGAACGTTCTCAAAAAGAACAAAATGAGAACTTAATCCTCAAGAACATTCTTAAGAAGAACAGAATGAGAACGAAAGTTTCGGTGATGTTTCCAATGAGAATGAAATAAGAACGAAAGTATCAAGTGAACGAAAGTTTTGAGAACTTAACGTTTAGAATGAGATGGGGGATGAAAAATCGTTTCAGTGAGAAACATGATTGTAAATTCTAAGCCAGAGGAAATCTGGATCGTTTCAACTTCCAGATCGTTTATCATTAGGGTGCACTGTTTATTTATGGAACAATTTTTAATTTTCGCTTCCATTCTTCACGAATAGTTCAGAGAAGATTTATTCCCGTTTCGAAAGAATGGCAGGCCTCCGATTGCATTACTGCCTTGGTGAAACTGAAGGTCCCACCACTTTGTGTAGAGAAGCGCGGCCGAACACTTAGCAAAAGTGTAAGAGATTGTCTGGTCTTGACCAAACAAAGACTTATGAATTTCGGTTGGTCCATTTATTAGGTAGCTGGAGGTATCTTAGAATGCGCGGGCTAAAACTGGTTTTGGGATCTAAAAATTAAGGGCAATGTGGTGTTTGAAGCATATTATCTACTTCCAAATCTTTTGATATATACTTATGGGGGTGTGTTGAAGTGATGACCCTTGGCCGGGGTTTCCCCTAACGATTTGGTAATGTAGAGCCGACCATCGTGACATCGTTAAAGTCAATGTCATCTGTCATCATCAGCTGTAATTTTCAGGTGTTATTATCAGCTATCATGTTATCAGTCAGAGTGAGCCTCTCCGATTTCATATTTTCAACTCTAAAAGTTGTGCTTGGCTTAAGAATTATTTGTTTTGTTTTATTTTGCTCATTTGAAATTTCGGGTGCTTTTCGTGCCTTTTTTGTAACTCTTCCTTCATTAGCTGTTTGCTATTTGCTTTTGCCCGCCTTTCCTTTACTTCCTTTCACGTTTGTTTTATACGACTTAGCGCTCTAAGCTAGTAAGCAACTAGTTTAACGATTTAGCCATGCTTTTATTTTCATTTCCTCATTGTTGTTATTGGTATGTATTCTATTGTTTAGACGCTTTTTAAAGCTGCACCAAAACAAAAAACATAATTTTAAATATACATACCAGCTACCAAAGTCAGGCGCGTCAACACCATTAACACGCCGAGGAAAGTAATCCAAGAGCTTAGGAGTGTTTGTACATATATAAATGTATGGAATGCCATGTAGTAAATACCGAGCTTGAAAACATTACTGGTATCCATAGCTATCAACAGTGTGAGGTGTCAGTAGTCGTCAACGCCATCAGCAATGAAGTTGATGGCAATGACGATGGTGTGGCGTAGCATGGCGGCAAGTCGACAGTACAATAACATTTCTAGCGTTGTTCGTAGTGTGTGTGTGTGTGATTGTGAATGGAGTGCACAGCTGACTTACTTACTTACTGATTTGCTTGAAAATTAAAAAAAAATTAATAACAACAATTGTGCGCTTCTTCAGTAACTAACTCAAACCATAGCTCACTTCGCTAATATCACCGAGAAATTATAACTTGTGTGCATATACATATGGTTGTACATTAGGGTGCATCACTCTCCATCCAAAAAAAAATAGTACTGTTCTTCCAACGGAATTATATATTCTATTATTATCTATAGTTTAAAACTTTCGTCAAAATATTTCGAAAAAATATTAAGATTAGCGTGATCTAATTCCATTTGAAAACATCCTCAAAGATTGAGTTTTTTATAAATAAAGTTAGTTTTTAAATTTTTTTATTCTAAGAAATCATTTCGGATGATAGAAGAGTTTAAGCTTAAAAGTTCTGCATAAAAATGTTTAACAATTTTATCAACGGAATCAAAATAATTTTTGGAGGTATTACACTTGCGACCGTAAATTTTACACATAAAAAATGAATATATTAGCGAAACTATGCGTAAATTATAGCAAAACTGCGTACTTATTTTTCTTTCTAAAGTCAGGATTTTTTAACAGTAATTTGAAATTTTAAAAATATGATTATTTCAAAAAATTATTTCGAAAATTCGGTGCAATGCAAAATAACATTAAGGGTATCATATAAAAGAAAAAATTCTGTAGAATTATAACAGAGTAAATTTTTTGGTGCGTAAGGTCGAATGGATATGGAAACTGTCCTTTTGTGCTTAAATACCCTTGACAATTTACAATATTAATTTTTTTAATTAATGTTTGAGGACTAATATACGAATGACCTCATCATCAAATTTCGTTCTGCAAAATTTTTTAACGTAAAAAGATAAAATTTATTAAAAGTCATTTTCAATTCCTATTCGTCCTTGCAAACCAAAAAACTTTATTGTTTTTAAATTCTACAGAATTTTCTCTCATATTTGGTACCCATATTATTATTCTACATTGCACTGATTTTTTTTAAATAATCTTTTGAATTAATCATATGTTTAAATTTCAAAGTCATTTGAAAAAAATTCCTGAAATCAGAGCGAAAAATTAAAAAAGCAGTTTTACTATATTTTGTCCATAGTTTCGTGAGTATATCGATTCTTTCGAGTGTTTTGAATTTTTCTGTTTTTGTCTCACGGTGTTTTCAAAAGGGTCCAGCTTTGGTAAAACATTATATTTTTCCAAAATATTTTGGCGGAAGTCTTAAAATATCTATAATGCAGTATGTAACTCCGGCAGAAAACCCCAACTTTTTTTTTGTAAGGTACCCTAATGTACACACGTACATACGTATTCCTAATATTCATGTGTTGACTTTTCTACACGGCTGCCATTAAGCGAAAGTGGTACCAGCCGCGTTGATGGGCATATGGAAAATTATTAAAAACGAAGCTTTAAGAAATACTGATACCCGCAATCTTTGTAGGTAAAACAGCTGCAACAATACGCAGCCATAAAAATAGGTACAGGTCAAATAGAAACAACAACAAACCACCACAAACTTAAATAATACCGTACTTTATTAGTTTGGTTTTGATACGAACAACAAAAAAAAATAAAACTGTTTTTTCATATAAATATTTAAATTTAACATCTTAATTATTAAAATTGCTCAGCATTTGCCATTATGAAGTGAAATGTATGTATGTATGTAAAAAGTAATATTTTGTATTGAAAGAAAAAAGTAGATTTGCCCTTACTCAACGCCGAGCATCGCTAAGAATTCTCATTGCTAAGTATCCGCTACTACTGTGTTTTATGATATCTGAATAACAACAAAACACTCGATCGGACGGTGAGCCGATTGTTGGCATCGTTTCAGCTGGGCAATAATATCGTCGAATTTTTTTCTTTTTGCTCCAAACGCTGCAGACAAAGAATACAAGAATCTATGTCAACCCAACGGTTTCTTTTTGTTCGTCAGATTTTTAAGTGACTTTTTCATTGTAAAACTACTTACATATGTACATAAATATGTGTTGTCTAATGACATTTTAAAATTTCTGCAGTGACCATTGATTAGCAAAAACGTAGAGGAACTGAATATGTAAGCTACATTTTTATGTTTATGTTATTCAAGAAATTCGTAGAAAGTGCTGTTGTTAACAATATTTAGCTCAACTTTTTTAGGAACATAATTTTAACTCAAAGCTAACAGGGCAATTCTGGCAACTGACTTTCAACTTCGCACAGACAAAAAAGAGAAAAAAATTAATAAATAAAAAAAGTATAAAATAAGTTTCTAAAAATTAAATTACATTACAGAAAAAAAGTTCTTAAAAAAATATAAAATCTGAAAATTAAAAAAAAAAATTTAATAAAAATAAGTTCCCAAAACTTCAGTGCAAAAAAATTGTTTTGAAAAAATCTAATCTAGAAACTAAAAAATAATTCAAAGAAATTTAAAAAAATAAAAAAATTTAATTTGAAAAAAAAATAAATAACATAACTTCCCAAAAATTAAATGAAATACAGAAAAAATACTATTTTAAGCAATAAAATCTAAATAATTAATTAAACAAGGAAATTATTAAATAAAAAATGAAGACAAAGTAAATAAAAGAAATTCAAAAAATATGTTTTTCTTTTCACAAGTAATTTTTAAGCAAAACCCGACTTTAATACCCATATACAAATTTAGGAGTACCCTTAATTTCTTCATTACACGATGATCGAAAGTAAACCAAGGTGGAACGGGGCCACCCTTGAGCTACACCCTTTCCGTCAAAAAAAAAAATAATATTTGAAAACAGATCACGTAATCCAAAGTTTTCCAGTAACATGCATAAAAAATATACCGATGAATTGACAACCTCTCTCCCTTTTTCTAACGTCGGTTAAAAATTAAAAGAAAATTAAATTTAAAACGCAAATCCTTTGCCAGAGGACTAGAACCACGGTTTTCTCGAATGGCACGCTAGTGCTTTGCTCACTCGGCCATTGCGACTGTTAGAGCAGCGCGAGAAAAAATTATATTCAAGTGCTTTCTTTCAAAAGAGCTTTTCACCATGAAAGTTGGCAGGGGAGCTTTTTTGTAAGCCAGAATAAACAAAATCTTTCAAATTATCTTCCCTACCACCTTTGAATTGTTTTACAAGATACTTTCAACTATCTCAGTTATTTGAGTTATTTTTTAAAAGCAAGGCTGCATTTGCTATAATTAAATAAATAATCAGCAATGGGCATTTAAATACAGGTGTGAAAAGCTATAATCACTATTTATAGTACAAATTTTTGTTTGTATACTTTTTATTAATACTTCCTTTCTAATTTACCCTTCCTATTTTTCTATATTTTCAGGCTGACCTCATACATGAACTGCGACCAAGATCAATGGATGGTGTCATTGACTCATCATCTGGGTCATTAAATGGTGACACTAACCGTTCGAGTCCAGATAGCGGAAATCATATACAAAATCAGCAGGTAAAGTGGCAAACAGTTTATTTCTAAGAGCTCTACTTGTAAATCTCGATACCACATTTTTTTTGAACACACACAACCACATAGATTTTTAAATAGAATCATTCAAATAAAGATTATTTAACAGAAAAAACTTTTTTTATTTTCAGGACGCTGAAGCGCGACGTATACACCGAGGACACGTACTCACCGAACTGCTCGAGACAGAACGGATTTATGTGAATGAAATGGCCTCTATTTTAAAGGTAAGAACGGTTTTTTTTTGTCTATTCAAAAATTGAGTAGGATATTAAATGATTGAATAAATATGTAAGCAGATATAAGTGCGTACATTAGGCTGGTTATTAAAAATATCAACATCTAAATTTTGATTGTGGGAACCCCTTAAAAATTTTAAACAAATTTTATGTCGCTACCTGGCTTGAAAAAAATTAAAATTAAAAAAAAAACACATTAGGGCGGAGCAATTTGTTCGGAACAAAATTTTCTAAGAAAGAGTAAAGCAAATTAAAATTCTACCATTAACCATCGCAATTGTCAAAAGAAATATCAGTATATTGTATGAAGAAAACACAAAATTTTGTAAATGAACAAGTAATTTTTAAGCAAAAAATAAAACCGTAAAAGTACCGTTAATTTCTCTATGATCCAATGATCGAATCTAAACCAAATTAGTATGGGTCCACCTCTGAGGTGCCATATTTCCTTTACCAAAAAATTTAGAAATAAGTTAACGTGGTCAAAAGTTATGCGGTAACATACATAACAAAAATAAAAATAAAATATTTCGACGAACTGATAACCTTCTCCTTTTTTGAATCAGTTAAAAATTAATTTCGTTCAGAAAATCATATAATACACTAATTTTTCTTTTAAAAATTGGGAGGGTCAAACATAATTTTTGGTATATAGTTTGTTCACCAGTTTTACTTTAGAATCGAACGTAAAACTCCAATATGCTATACACTTTCGAAATTAAATTACCTGCCCTAATGTACATGTTATTTAAACTTATAAATTTTTTTTTTTAAGTTTTCGTTTGTGTTTTTGCCTTGTACGTAGAACAAAATAAAGGGATGTCCCACGATGTTGATATTTTAAGAACCACCCTAATGTGCATACATATCTTTGTACATTTAAGTATGTCTGGGAGGATTATAACAGATTATGTTAGATAAAGATTATGTGCGGTTATCATAATACTCGTAAACTGCAGAAAATCATAGCCATGACCATGAAACATGCAATCTGCAATCAATTAGTCAATAACCATGGCCAAAATGCACTCACCACAAGACATGTTGGTCAACACCTACATACTTCAACAATATGAACACCATTATGTGGTCTTAATGAACCACACATTAATGAGCACGCAGGCGGAAAAGAATAAAAACATTTATAACGGCATACATATATGTACTTAAACGCCTGCTCTTAACAGCTGCAAGCATTTTTAGTTGTAAATATTTTTTGCTCTCTTCATTTGGCTTTATTGGCGTTTGCTTCAGTTAACAGTTTCTGCAACAGTTGAATGCCTTTGATTGCAATTAGTGCATTAAAATATGAGCATAATTTTCTACTTGGCACGGACGGACAAGTTGCAAAAGTAGAATTCATTCGATGCAAAAGCTACAGTTATGTACTTAAAAATTAGACATAGCATTGAGATCTAAGAGTTTTAGACGCGAGCCTCATTTCATTTCGCGTTTACCAGCCGCGCTAAGCAGTCGATAAATACATTTTTTTTTCGAGTTTGACTTATAAAGATTTTGTGTTCTGCTGCTTTCCTCGTCCTTGCAATTACTAGTTGAATTCAAATATTGAACTCGCTTGTGTACCGCCAAAAATATGCGTTACGGCGGTTACGATTTACGTAAGGCATCGAAATCCAAATCGCCCTCATCGCATGGTTCCCTGCGTCTGAAGAAAGTTCACAATACCGCCTGCAACATAGTTGGTCGCTTCAATTTGAAAATAACCGATTCACTGAAACGCTTGCATCTACAACGTTCGCACTACTGCGAGTCGCCAGTGTCCTTTCGTGGTTCACTCTTCGAGCAGCACTGCAGTGCTGGTAGTTATCGCGCCACGCCCTCAACTACTACCTACAGCATACATTACAAACCAACAGAATCGCGTACGAATTACAATCACTCCACAGACGAAAGTCACAGCAGCAATAACTCACCACCAAACTACATTTTCGGCACGAATTTGTGTAATTTTTCGGCGCATAATCTCCTAAACGGCAAATCGACTGTCAAAATCATTAATACTTTCAAGGAACTCGAAGCACACCAGAACATTAGCGATAGCAGAACTGTCTCGAATAGCTTGGAGCGCTTGAAAAACGATCGCAAGACGATATTCAAGGAGCTCATCGAACTCTCTAGCTGCGACGAATCGCTCGAGTACCGGCTAGTCAAGGACTATTTGGAGTACAATACCTACTCGGAAATCGAAAACGATTCCGAGTTCAAAGAATACCTGCTGCGCAAGAACTACAACGACATCCTGGACTATCTAGACGATGTGCAGCCGAAAAGTCTCACGTCTATCTCGTCGTCGGTAGCGCGCGCTCAATCGGCGCTGAGCAAGCACACACTGAGCCATGCCAAAGTGCTGGCCACGCCCAAATCACTGCAATTCACAGCGAGCGATACGTGGAAATTCAAAGGACAACTGTGCAACTCTTGCCGCACCAGCGTTGATTGCAATGAGGCGCTTAAGTGGTCCTCCTCGCGTGGTCCGACCACAACCACCACATCAAATAATCTCACCAACGAAACCACCACCACAACTCCAGAGGACGCAGAATCTGCTGAGGGGAAGAACTTTTTTTCAAATTCCTATAGCGAGGTGTTGAAATTTTGTCAGGAATTTTTCGAGGAAAGTTTCCGCCCTAAGTCTGGATTTAATTTGCCGAAATTCAATACGAGCGCGAAATTCAAACAAGCAAATTACGAGCGGGTTTTGCGAGAGTTTGTCACGGCACAAGGATACCCGACAGTAGACCAATATATAGAAACAAAATATGGGAAATTTTTTGGCACCGAGTTTGGCAAAATGAAAGAAGCAAAGCGCAATACTGCAAAGTTGCATGGAAATGTGGTAAAGTATATTTTTTTGAAAAATAGGGAGGGGCTAAAAAATATTTAGTTTTATTTAAAATATAGTAAAATAAAATACAAACAATTTTTTATGTGTTTAATATTCGTATGCAGCGATTGCTAACTTCCTGCATTTTCTATATATTTCTAGGGCTATCGTGATCAAATGCTATCTGAAGAAATGATGCATCTTGTACCCGCCAGTCTGCAAGGTAAAGAGGATATTTTATTCGGCAATTTACACGAATTGTATACATTTCACAATGAGATCTTTCTGAAAGATCTGGAAAATTGTATATCTACGACAGAATTGGTGGCGCTGTGTTTTGTGCAAAGGGTAAGTAAGCGTGCGTGGATTGTGCTAGAAAATGGTTATTTGAAGGTACACAATCTCAGTGGCCCTGACGCCCTGAATCACTTCTGAATGTGAAAATTTCCTTGCACCAACATTGCTGGTAGCAAATTAAACACGAGCGGCACGAACAGCCAAAGTATGGTTGGCGTTTAAACTGGAAGATCCGATTTCGTTTTAGGGTGAAAAGTGCGTCTTTTTGTTCAAAAACTGTGCTGCCTCGATGGCGATTTCTTTCGGTCCGAAAATATAGACGGAAACTATTTGGCAGATATTGAATGCATAGTAAGTTCAGGGCAAAGAGTTATGGAGAGATCGAAACTATCTAGAATCCCCGCTCGTGTCTAAGACATTCGATAAATTTGTTTAGAGGTCATATCGAAATATATATAGTCGCTACTGTCTCGGAAAGAACCATGGTTGCCTCTAAAATAAAGTTTGAATCACAAAGTTTTTGGGTAACTACTTACATTCTCCCTTCTGGAAGGCATTACCTCAACATGGACATGTCAAAAATGCAGTCAACATTACACATTAGCGTACGTATATGAATTCTCATTCTACTCTGCCAGGAAGAATTGAAGAAAGTGAAATATTGATAAGACTCTATAGCAACGCCTTCTAGAATCCATTACCACTAGAAGCGGTAAAAGATTTTTTTAGGCGTCTCAATAGACAGGTAGAAACGCAGTCGAAGTAGATTAACTATGACCGGTAAAATAGCCTATGGGCACCTGCACGACACTGATCAAGCAGTAATCTCAGCACCCACTACATTTACGATTTTAGAACCAAAACTCTGTGAATGTATTGGCGGATCTGCGACTAGGTTTCTATCCTTTCGCTGTCCCTCTTCCTCACTTGTTGTCCGACACTTTCTCAATTCAAATAAGGTGTCACATAGTTCGTGTTACCTCCGCTGCTTTCTTCAATTGAGCTATGCCCGTATGCTCTAAGTTAAATTCCTTAATGACTATCCAATTTACCTGCGGATTTAAAAACAAGTTCCTTCCAAGTAGTATCGGTTTCAATATTGGCATGTATTGTCAGGATAGACGAAATACTTCTAGTATCGCCCGGGATCCTTTTACTCGCCTAGAAGACGTTATCGGCTTTCTGCCTACCTAGACCTTGGACCTTTTTGTGAAAAGTATAGTGTCCGTTTTGTCTGTGTTTACCAACGGCTCCGTTCGAGATGCCTAATGCGATTACCACTACTATACTAATAATTTCGTACACCCATATTTGCTACTCTTAGAACCGCTCGCCATGACTTCAGTGTAAAGAAGGAAAACCAGTTGGGATGATTAGATTTAGTCGATAGACTACGGGGTTTCAGAAATATAATTTTACAGCAGTTTGATTACTTTAGTAAACTAAGTTCTGGGGACATTCTTGCTTTATTCCAATAAACTTTCAAATAACACTTATCCTTTTGCAGCGCGACACCTTCTATCGTTTATACTCCTTCTACTGCCAAAATATACCACGCTCCGATCGGCTGCGTGAAACGCTCGTCGATACACATCTCTTCCTGCAAGAATGCCAAAAGCGTTTGGGTCACAAGCTACCACTGGGCGCATATCTGCTGAAGCCAGTGCAACGCATTACCAAGTACAAATTGCTGCTCGAAAATCTGCTGGGGTCCAGCGATAGCGGCAGCTGTACCAAAGAATTACAAAAGGCTTTAGATTGTATGCTAATCGTGCTGCGTTGTGTGAACGATTCGATGCATCAAGTGGCTATAACGGGATTTCCGGTATGTAACAGGAAGAGGTACTCTATTCACATTCGTTCATATTCTCTTTTATCGCACAGAGCAATCTTTCGCAACAAGGCGAACTACTGCTGCAGGATCCCTTCCAGGTGTGGACGGAGTCAAAGAAGGATTTGCGACTGCGCAAAAAACCGCAGCAGCGACATATTTTCCTTTACCAAAAATCTATGATTTTCTGTAAGAAAACCTCGAAGCCTGGACACAACAAGAGCACCTATCAGTTTAAGCATCAGCTGAAGGTAAGCAAAACGATTTAGCGCAAATTTGGAAGCACCCGAAGCTCACGAGCACCCCTTTCTCCTACCTCCCCACAGTTGTCACAAATCGGCCTCACCGAATCGGTACGCGGCGATTCAACGCGCTTCGAAGTCTGGCTACAGGGACGCCAAGAAGTGCATACACTGCAGGCGCCCACCGAGGAGGTGAAAAATAAATGGGTCACTGAAATTAAGCGACTGCTGCTCAATCAACTGGAAGAGCTGAAAGGCGAAAAGATCAAACAGTATGGCATGAATCATCATGGCCTGCGGCAGACAACCTCATGGGATACGCCAAATATTCTGTTGGGCATGCCACAACGCGCTGTGAGCTGTGATGCATCCTCCGAGTCTTCAAATCGCAATTCGAATTGCAGCAGCAGTGGCGATGATGTTTACCCGCATGGCATGCCACCACCACTCTCGACGGTGACAGGCAATGGGCATGCGCATGGCAATAGCGCTAGTGGTGTTGGTGGTGACAAAGAGCAACAAGAGGCATGCGGCTGGAGCTCGGATTACTCGAATAGTGAGGATGAAATGTCGATCATCGAAGACAACAGCGCGCCGGTAAGTTAGAATTGTTTCTGCTGAATGGGCGGAATAGATATGCGAAAAGTATCTACATGTAAATTATTATATTAATATTTATTGAAGAAAATTTAGTAACTTGCAAAACCATTTATGGAAGGGATGAAGTTAATTTTTTTCTTTTATCGTAAAACAAATTAATTTTAGTTTTATATTTTTTGATTGATTATTATTTTGTTGTGGTTTCGGTTTTTTCTGTAATTTACGTTTTCTTCTTTATATCAAACTTATTATTACAAATATACCTTATTATTTATTTATGAATAGTTTTACTTGCTTTTATATTGGTCATATTTTATTTTAACTTTTATTTTTCTTTTCGCTTTTCGTTTTGTTTGCTTTAATTAAATTTGTTACTTTTTTGCGTATTCATCCATCATGTTGCATAGTTTCTTCTAATATATGTTATATATTATTTGTCTTATTTAATTTTTTTGGGTTCTCTTTTTTACTTTCATGCACAAAACACTTTGTCTTAAAATTGTATTCCAATATCCCCTCAACTGCAATTGCAAATAATGCCACCCTGTACAAATTATACAAATGTAAAAAACTCAATTAAAAATTAATAACAAATGAAAATATGGACAAAAACTGAATTTTGAAAAAAATATTTAAAAATTTATAAAAACATAAATAAAAATCAAAATATTGCTTGATACTTAAATATTGTAAAAAAAATCGACAAAATAAAAAAAATATATTTAAAATAAAATGTAATTTCTTAATTAAACAAATTTATTAAAAAAAATAATACAACTAAATTTTTATTTACACTCGCATATAAAAAACTCAAACACCAAAAAATACTGAAAAATTTTAATAAAATAAAATAAAAAAAAAAAACAAATAATTGCAATACAAAATCAAATTACTTTTAAAATTAACTTAAATTAATTATTAATATTATTGAATTAAATTAAATTAAAAATGAATTATGATATAAAATTAAATTAAATAATTTACAAACAAAATAAACAAAAATAAAATAATAATAATAAATAAACAAAATAAAATTACAAAAAAAATATGTATTATAAAAAAATTATTTAAATAATAAAATCAAATGAAATAAAATGAAAAATAATAATATACTTACATATGTATGTACATTGAGAAAAATGTAAAATAAAATAAAATAAACAAAAAATCTACTAAAATAAAAAATTTATTATTAAATAAAATGTAATTAAAATTAATTACAAAAAATTAAATGAAATGCAATATCAAATAAATTACAATATCTAAAATAAAAATATAAAATTAATAAAAATGAAAAAATAAATATTAAATGAAATGAAAAAATACATAAACAAAAATATATAATAAACTTTAAATGTTTTCCAATGTGTTTTTATACAAATTTTGAATTTAATCAACCACAAAATAAAAAAAAACCTATATAAAAACATTTAAAAATATTGATATATTTATGTTAAATAATAACTTAACGAAATTCCTAAAAAAAAATGACAAATCAAAAAATTAAATAAACTATTCAAAAAATCTCCAAAAATCATCCCTTCTTGTACATAAAATTCGAAATATCGCAGCGTTTCATGAATTTTCTGGCCCAGTGGACCTACAATTCTGATGGTAATGGTAGTGGCTCTTATCCGCGTAACAGCAAATCCAATTCGAAATTCTATGTCTCCGTGGAGCATTGAGCAGTTAAGCAAGCGTTAAAACGACAAAAATAATGGAAGTAATATACCCCCTTCACAGAGAAAAAAAAAAATCGAAAAATGTACGAAATACCAAAAAGTTAGTGAAAAATCAAAACGAAATCGCCGACCGCTTAATTTATAGTACAAAATAATATTTAGTCACGTAAACGACACGCAGTAAAAACTTAAAAGCACGCAAATTTTAAAATATGCTATAGCAGTACTCATAGCGATTACAGCTTAGTGCAACAGATCATCAGTCGAGTACAGAATTGAGTATTTAGTCCAAAAATGTATTTGTAGCGCTAACGAATTACATATGTAAATATTTTATAGTAAAGTGAGACAAGTAAAAAAAACAAAAAATTCACTATAAAAGTGCATCGTTATTTAAAGCATTAAAAAGTAAACATCTTCACTGCCAATCATCTATAAAAGCCAATATCACGCATTTTACGCTCTTCAGTCATGCTCAAGACTCGATTGTTGGACTTAAAATTCTACAACAAAAGACAATCGAATGCACTAAGAATCAAACTTTCCTCCTTAAAACTCGTCTATATCCTTAATATCCACAGTCAGCACTAACTTTTTACACTACCAAAAAGACGACACTATATTTTGTCTCGCTCGCACACCGAACACATGCCAACCAACCCCCCTTTTGTTGTGCGTCTCCATTTCACTAATTTCTGTTTCTTTTCTTCCCGCTGCTTCCTTTCAATTCACATTCGTGCCTGTCAAACTTTTGTCTCTTTTACACCTGCTCGTCTCATGCATATGCTTGCTTGTATGTGTGCGTATTTGCGCGTCTCTTCATATAGACTTGCGCGATGTACAAACGTCTGCAATAAAATTCCTGCCAGTCGTCTGACTCATTCTGAATCATGCTCTCGCTGTCACACTCTCTCTCTCTCTCTTGCTTCCTCGACCGACATGCCACCGATTGTGATCGTAATCGTTCATCATGCATACATAAGTACGTGTCGTCATCAAGCGTTAATCCCTTATTCATCATTTGCATAATTCAATGAATAACGTTACATAAATCTGCGTGTAAAAAGCGGCTTCAAATGGAGGCAGTCTGTCGAAAAAGATTTGCGTAAGTTTTTTTTTTTTGTTAATTTTGACTAAAATGCATAAATAAAATTTAATTTTTAAGTTACCTAAATAAGCGATAGCAGTGTTCATAAAGAAAAGCAATGTTTATTGTTTTTTTACACAAATTTTTCTGAATACAAACAATAATCTAACTATAACCATTACACAAACATTTTGGTTTGACTTTTTTGCAAGCGACGCAGAATGCCGCCTAAAAGTGTTTGCCAATTTTTTCATAACTCACTTAAAAAACAATTAACAAATAAATCGTTTTCCCAAACACAGAGCTCTATGCCGAAAACAATTGCATTTTAACACGCTTCAAATATTCGATGACGCTTGCAATAGCTTTCTCAATGAAAAAGAACACGCTAAAGAAACATTCTTTTTATAGAAATTTCTATGAAATCTTTAAATCGGCCGGTTATGCGACTTTTAGATATTCCTTAGATTTTTTTTTAATCAAAAGTTTAATATAATTTTCGTTATTAGCGTCATAAAAGTGCACGTTTATGGACATATATAATATTTTAATAGTATATATAGCACATACATACATACATACCAAAAAAAAATTGTTGTCTTTCTAAATTATATTTACCTTCTCCTGCCTTTTTTAATGTGCCTGGTAAAATTGGGAAGCGGGGGCGTATGAGTAACTTGTATGGTCCGCATGAATATATCGTATTAAATGTTGCAAAAATGCTGATTTTCTGCCCCAGGGGCTCTCAAAACTATCTTTTGGCAAAGCAGAAGGAGCAAAGGTTACATTTCTCAAGATACTAAATAGACATTTATTGAGGAGCTCTTCACGCGACTCATTTTTCAGGCTTGATAACTGAAAATAGCCAATTCTCATTCTTTTTTTCATTTTCGTCGAAATGCGCAATCGTCGCAAAATTTGACGGTAGTATTATGGTTATCCACATCGACGTCGATGTAATTTTTTTAAATGGACCACAGAATTTTTTCGTAAAGGTGTTCCTCCTAGGTGCAGTGTTGTATTTAAACCTTATAATAATGATAATAATAATAATAATAATAGGTTTGCACTTACACAACATAATACGTTGGAAATTAAACGCGATGTAGCTCTGCCGTTATCCCTTAAAATGAAAGGAAACAACTCTTCTGGTTGGACTGCTAATGAGGCATCATCTCTTATCAACTTATGCTCTCATAGTAGGTCTGGTAAAGGATAAAATTTGGTTACAGAAACATAACTCCGGACGGTGTAGTGACCATGACCGTGGATGTTTACGCCAATTTTTTATGGAATTAATGCCCATCGTTAAAAGTAATTTTTCCTTTTTTAAAGAAAATTATTTTAAATTTCAAAGGAAAGTAAAATAAACTAAAGGCTGATTTTCACTATGCCAAATTCCCTATGTCAAATATTTAAGTGAAAACACATTGTCAAATGGGATCAAAAAGCGGTTTATTGATTGACTTGAATCAGATAGGTCCTTAGTCGTGTAAATGTGCTGCTAAATCGGCTATCTGTCTGTTTTGCCGTCAAAATATGGCATAGCGAAAACTAGTCTTAAAATTCTTAATATGCTTAGGGAACACTCAATTTTTTAGACATACTCGTATAAGCATATCTAAGTATGTATGTATGTGCATATGTATGTATGTGCGCTTGTACATTTGTATATTAAACTTATTTAAAGACAACAACAAGCACTGCACTAAAAGTAAACTAGGTAGTCCCCAAACAAAAATGACTTAATCACCATTCAGCCACCATTCACACATCCACCCGTCACCTGCATAGATACTAACCACAATGCAAACTTCAATAAATGCACATGCAAGCACACATCCACACAGCCATGCACAGAAATCATATCAATCTCACATAAAAAAAAAGACAAAAACACCTACAAACCCACCATTCCGTGAGTGTGCATACATTTTTGCTTATAGATTTCGTTTGACATTTTTTAAATCACGAATTTGAGTTAAGTTTTGCTGATTTACGATTTTTGTTAATTTAAAAATAGTCAAAGCAAAAGAAAGTATTTATTTTTTATATGCCAATATATATAGAAAAAATAATGCTTAAAAAATTTACGCTACTTTAAAATATTAATGCGCTTTTAAGTCAATAATTAAATATATTGCTAAAATCCCAAATACTTAAATGTAAGTTTGTATGCCAATTAAAGGAGCTGTTGTTGCTCCATTTTTTGCCTAGTTCTAGTTCTGCATACGCGTTTGTCTTGCGACACGTTTTCATTTAGTTTATATAGACAAGTGTATGTACATATACATATATTGCAGAAATGCTGCTTATTAAACACACGCATCCATATCGCGACCTGTTTTGGTTAGCAAATGCAAAAAAGCTACAGTTGGCCAAAGAATAAAGGAATTAATTTACTAAATTTCACAAAAAAAAGCGCTATGTTACTTAGTTCATTACTCATAAAAAAATATTTCAAAAATAGTTATCTCAAACATTATGTATTGTATAATTATTATTATTATTTGCATTAGAATTCGTTGAATGTTTGTTAAATAGTTAATACTGTAATTTTAGGGCAGTAAATTTGTTGCCCTCGCCGATTATGCGGCTATGGGACATTCGGAGGTTTCGATGCGCGAAGGAGATACGGTTGAAATGTTGAAGGTGGGCTGTGCTGGCTGGTGGTTTGTGCGTGTTTTAGGTAATTTAAATGCTTTTTTGTTGTCCACTATGTATATGCGTATATAAATTTTATGTTTTTATATGTAAAGCGTAGAAATACTATGTACCTTTCCCCCCGTTTGTCACCTCTGTAATGCTTACTTATCACATTTCCCTTGTATTAATACCGTATGTATATATCTACATATGTATGTAGTTTACGATAGTATATGATTTTGGAAGTAAAAGCTTATCTCAGTTTAAATCGTAGCCTTTTCTCGCAATAATGTATTCATATCAAGAACTCGCAGCTATGTTGCCAGAGATAGTCGCCATAATGTTGCAAGTTTAAAGAGTCTGCAAAATTATTTATTTATTTATATGTCTATGCCCAAAAAACAAAAATTGCTAAATTCCAGATAAAAATCACAAATACGTATAGTCACATGTTTCCAAACAATGTCGCTTTATTAAGTTGAAGATGCAAAAGCTGCACAACAACTCTGCTCAAACGCTGCAAAAGCGTTCCTTAGACAGTGTTGCCGCTTTTAGAAATTGTTTAAGAATAGCTGAGAGGTATATTTCTGTCAGGAATTCGATTGTTTTTTTTAATGTTAATGGTTAATTTTAATGCTTTCCTGCTTAACTTTATAATGTTGTCGATATAAGTCTGAGATAGTCTGAGAATACTGATGCGATTTTTAATTTTTCATTGAGTGCGATTGCATTTTCATTTTGTTTGGAGTGTTATTAAAGATTTGTTTGTTTGTTTTTTTTTGTTCACACCAACAGCTTGGAGTAAAATTTGTAAAGGAGCGTTTACAATAGCACATTCGAGTTGAGAGTGCTTTTTAGAAATATAATTATGTTTTCGTAACAACATTAACTGAAAATTTAGCTCGAATAGGGGCTATTTACGTCACTACAAGTTGCTATTTTAAACTGAAGAATATTTCAAAACATCATTCTCAACCCAAGCTGGCGTTGTAAACTCTCCTTTACATGCGACTACTTTAATGTTATATAGGAAAAGATAATGGTGATAGTCATTATGTCGACATTCTCCTTACAAATCTAGTTAAAGCAAAAAGTCTAATTGGCCGGTAGCCAAAGTATTTACCTTCAGCATGCACATCACTGTTTTCGATTATGATTTTGAAAATTTAGAAAACTACGTTTACTCCGAGAACATCGGAATCCGAACATGTCTGTCCTTCAAATCCAACAGGAAATTACTCTTGTTATGTACTTTAGATTCAGTAGTGAATAGATTAAAAAAATGCTGAGTAAGTTGCAATGACCTTTGCGAGTTAGCAATGTCGAGCTTTACAGAAGATGGAATGATAGCTGTTGTGCCGCAGACTGGATCATATTGTGCGATCGCCGTGGGTGTAAAAACTCCTAAAAAATTTCGAGGCGGTACTTGCAAGAGGAATAGGAGATCTCCCTATGTGTTGGAAAGAACAAGTAGAGATTGACTCGGCTGATTTTTATAAGCAGACCCTTTTGTTTGTCAAATGAAGGCACTTAGGTACTTAGAGTGTAAAAGTTGTTCTAGAGTAAATTTAGTAGTAGCAGCAACGCCATTGGTCAGCATGAACTCAGTATTAGCTGTGTTGAAGGACAAAGCGAGGATGTTGTTTTCCCTAACGCCAACAATATGGAAAAAATAAATGAAATCAGTTGAAACTTCGAACGAACGAAGAAAATTAAGTATGTATTACGATCTCTAAACTCTCTTGGTTAAAATTTTTTGCATACTTTATAAAACTTAAAAATTTGTTGGTTTCGAACTGTTTTGTTAAGTAAATTATGTATGCGGCAACACTGGTATTAGAAAAACTTCGCCACAATATTGATATTTAATTTCAACAGCATTATGTTCAGCAGAAATGCTGCCAGATATAAAGTAAGGTTTTGTGAGATGCACAAATTCCTCAACGAATTTCCGGGTATATTTGATTTGAAAAAATATGCATCCGCCGGCTACGGACACCCAGCAGAATTTTGTAGAGCTGAGAAAAGCGAAAGAACATTTCAAGGTTAATTTAAGTACAACACCCAGTTTCCAATGTCGTCCTGTAACGCAAGCTATCTTTCCTTAGATGGAAATAATAATTTTTTATGGAAAACCACTTCCATTCTTAACGCTTCTCTTAAGTGCATTTGAAAGCTAATAATTAGCCAAAAGTAGTTATAAAAAAATTGCTAAATGCCACTTTGAATTTTGTATGGTATGCATGACAAATATAAAATAGTAATTGCATTTATTTCTCCAAATAAATAACTAATTTGCCATATTTCTTATAAGAAGATTTCTCTACTAATTTTGTTACGCCTTTTTCTGTTTCCGTTCAACTTATTTTTTTTTTACAAATTCACAGAAGCCAATGCAGAGGGTTGGACACCAGCGGCATATTTGGAACCGCTCAATCGAAAATCTTCTCGAAGCTCGAGCCGCAATCAGGAGCGAATAAATTTGAGTAAAAACGCCGAGTAACGGGAAGGAGCAACAGCAAGCGAATGATTTCGAGCGGAGAACGGACAATGAGACAGTAAGGCATGTGAACGTTTTGTAAAATTAGCAGATGGATTTGAGGCCGTCTTTAGCAAGAATCATAAAAAAATTTAGCTACGCAAAGTGAGCACTAAAAAATTATAACGAAATGTGTGATATGTATTACGATCCACAAATTGAAGGAAGAAATCTGAATGCACCAGAACACTATATACTTCTTCTGCTTTAGCCCTCTGTCGCGCATTAAAAAATAAGTCTAAGCTCTAAAATATATTGAATATGTATTCAACAAAAACAAAGCTATTACATATATACATACATTTATGCATAAACATACATTTTAGGCTTTAAATTCTTAACAAATGAACCCCAGTAACAGGAATTCGATTGATATTAAAAAAAAGAAAACAAAATATGAAATCCCATTTACAAACAAATTTCACTCTTGGAAAACTTTTTGAGACTACATACATAGCAAGTATTGCATACAACTAAAAATTTAAATTACAAAATATACAAATATGAATTATTAAGAACGAAATATGCAAAGGCCTACAAAAAAAAATTTACATTCTAAAAAGCTTTAGCTTAATAAAAATTTGATAAAAGCATAAATATGAGTAAAAATCTAAGCGACAGCTTTACAACACTGCTGCATCCTGTTAAAGATTTTACAAAATTAAATTAAATCTTGAAAAACTGACTTGAATCACATCTAGCAATTCTTTTTACTTTCGTAGTTTTGAAAATTTCCTAAAGAGCAAACAAATTTTTACAAATTTTCTAACGAATGTATACTTATGCAGAATTTCCACTGTGCGCAAAATGACAAATAATTTTAGTGATCAATTTGGTCATTATAATACAGCTGTAATTAAATTACAAAAGCATGATCATTAAGTCATTGCAGTTTTTAATGACACATATTTTTTCATTCAAATGTCAATTTAGTGGAAATTCGGCATTAGTTTTTACACAGAATGAATCCAGTTTTCACATCTAGTCTAGCCATATAACAGTTAATAATTTTTTACCTGTGCATAGGAATCTATGAATTGTATTACTTGCCTAAGAAAATTAATTTTTTTTGAACTCTAACAGCCAATTTCACGAAAGCAATTTAAGTGAAAAATGATTTTAATTTTTGGAATTTTATATGGAAATTGACAGAAAATTAAAAATCATTTTCCATTTAAATTGTAGTGAAACCGACTGTAAAAAATTAAATATAACTCTTCAATATCAAAATAGCCCCAAGTAAAGGTTTACAAAAGGCTTTTCATTGATTTGAAACTCCAATGCAAATCGATTTAAAGTACTTGATCAAAAAAATTAATAAACCTTAAGCATTTACAGATTTTAAAATGTTTATTTACAGTAAAAATATTAACACTTAACTTACCGGGTCATTTACGCACTGAAATAAGCGTTGATTTTTGCAAATTGTTTAAATTAATTTATCCAATTCTGGTTTGTAACAGCTGCTATTGGATTTTAGACGAAGCACAATTAAAAGCAATTTCCGAAAGCGACCATTTCACAGCGATTGTTATGTTCAGTGTTTATTTAAAATATAAGTGTTAATTTAGAATGAAATATTTATTAAAATTAAAACATTTTTAACTTAAGAGTTGCTAAATAATTGCGAATAAAGTGCATTAATTTGTTAATATTTTTGTACTATATTAAAAGAAAAACAAAACAACTAAAAAAAATCAATTCAATCAATAGTTATTTGTAAATACATAAGCTGCATAAGTAAATGAATACATATTTAAAGATTTAGCTATTTTTATGCATACTTGAGGTATAATTATGTACTTATAAATAGCATACGAAAGCAATATCTAAAAAAAAAAAAAACAACAAAATAAATATTTACGAATACATGAACTATATTTACTAAGTTGGCTTACATACATAGATTAAAATATTGTTTATTTATTTTAAGTAGTAAATGAGTTAAGAGAAGAGTTCGTTTATGTACATACATACATACAAATTTAGGAACAACACAAGTGAATTTGTATTTAAAAAAAATAAAAAATTAATTTAATTATTATAAAACGAAATACCTTTATACTACATACATACATACAAACATAAGTGTATGCGTAATCTTTCGATTTATGTGTATGTGCTGTAAGTAAATTCATTTGTTGTACCACTTCATTTCGAAGGAATGTTATCGAATTAAGTATGCAAAATACCTGCTTAAACATTAACATTTCTAAGGGTATTATTATCTATTGAATATACATACATACATATTATATACTTAAATATAAAATGTAAAATCTAAAAATATCTGAAATAAAATAATATGTTCGAAGAGAAATCTATACGAAATAATAAATGTTTCATTCAAAACGGTACAAAGAAGGGCAGGTGCAATGGTCAAGTGTACAATAGTAATCATAAAAAAAAAACAAGAAAAGTTTTTAGGCAAGACAGTTAATACTAATAACCTTACCATTTTTTATTATGCCGAATATCTACCAGGCATTAAAATGTCAACAAAAAAAATCGATTAAAAAGCCATTATGACTACCATCGCTAACGTAATGGCACGGTTATTAAGCAATTAATTAATATTTTCGCATTTCAATACCAGTGGAAACCCGGTAATAACCTCGAAGAATAGTTTTTCAAAACGAAGTTACTTTTGAGCCAAAACTTTGTTCCTTCAGTAAAACTTACAAGGTCTTTGAGTTTTTTTCCAGTTCAGTGAAATATTTCTGCGACTTTTGCATGCATATTTAATTTTATTTTTTAGTTTACCTTAAAAAATATAAAGCCTTATTCCGAATTCCGAATAGGCATTGAAATGACGAAAAATGTGTACCAGTCGGCTTTGATAACCCTATTGAAAGATGCTGCCTTAATTTTATGGTAATAAAGAATTTTTGATTTTTTTTTTTTCAAAAATATGGAATCGTAAAATATTTATTTATTATTTAAGTGCATTTATTTAGAGATATTCTACTTTTAAAATGGAAATACCACCAATTTCAATCTTCATTTCGCGAAAGAGAGAAAGAGAGAGAGCGCGAAAAGTTTGAAAAGCATGCGTCTCTCAGACGTATGTAGGTTATAAAAGTAGGGTTAAAAAATTCCATATAGAAACGAGTTTAAGAACAAATTTTCTTAACGCAATGATACAGGCATTATTAAAGCCCAACTTTTTCATAAAAAGTTGGCCATTAAATGCCCAGTGGAGATCCGCATTAGTATTTCGACGGCTGAGTGGAAGATCGACCTTTCTCGGCAGCCGGTTCGAAAACGCCCTATCTCAGAATTTGGTTGAAGAACGCCCTATCTCAGCTGCCGATATATTAAATTTACATTGAGATAGGGCACGGTGGAGATAGGGTGTTATTGAACCATTTGCCGAGTTAAGGCGCTCCTCAACCAAATGTCGAGATAAGGTGTTCTGGCAAAATTTGCTGAGTTAGGACGTTTTCGAACCGGCTACTGAGTTAGGGCGATATTCCACTCAGCCATCCTTTTCAATTTTTCTTTACAAAATCTTACTTCCCATATCGACCTTGAACCGGTAAGTATAAAGCCTAGGTAAAATCCAAGAAGATTTTCTCAAGCACTATACCTACTTTGAATTTTAGCAAAATATTAAAAACTTGTTACGCTTAGAACGAGACTAATAGGCGGTATACACGATGCGTCTGCCTGGTGTCCAACGATACCAACCACCACTTCACAGCCCCACTCTAGTCTATACCCCTCTTGCTCTCGTCCAACCGCGTTGAAACGGCAATTTTTTCCCTTAGTTGAGCGTGATGACAACGATTGATGGACAAACCGACTTAGGCAAGGCTTAGTGGTTCCGCATCCTTCTAATTCGGGCTGGCATCGAGTCCAACCCATACCAGAAACTACATTTTGCTGCGTTTGTTAGAAAAGACGCCATTAGAACTTCACCTTTGTTATAACGACTTTATCCAAATGGCGCTAATAGCTTCCATTGCTCGAGCAATGTGCCGGTTCTTCCAATCTTCTTCCTGCTCTAACTCCATATTCCTACCTTAGATGGTGTTACTTTGGAGCATCCCTGATCTGCGCACCAAACGTGAGTGGAACATGCGCTCGGCAACCCTTTTCACCGTCTAGACGAAACAGGTCAGACTAGAGCTGGGAATTCACGTCGACGGTGAACCAATTCTGATCGTCTCACTCAGTGCACACAACCGCAATTGTCAATAGAATACAGAGCAGCAACAAAGCCGAGGACTAGCAGGATACAGTGGATGAAGTTGCAGACCTGCCCAAACACGGCACTCCGGACCACCATGGGATGACTTCTGATGCCGCTAGAAGATCACCTACACGACGAGGCCTTATTTCTCTCCGTCAAGGAGCACACATAGCCTGGTGGCTATGCAAGCAGTACTTAGTAGGGTGCCACAGACGTGGGCACCAGAACAGACATCTGCTTGCTGCGGAGCTCTCGCCTAGGCACGTCAGAAGTCATCTATATGAACTTACGGGCGCAGTCCAAAGGTTTATAAGATAACCACTGGACCAAAACTGGAGACTCACACCAAGATATCTCACCTCCGCTCTGCTGCAAGTTAAACTGCTACCTGAGTAGGATAAATCAAAATGTGCGCAATGAATATCCGGCGTTTTGAAAGTCACACCATGACTCGGCACAGCTCACGACATCTTTTCAGCCGTTCCCACGATAGTCGGGTCTACGTAAGCGGTACGACCCAGATTCATATCTGGCCAGGAACTGTAACTCCCGCATCATTCCCCAAAACTCTGGAAAATTTGTATGCTGTTACAACAACAACAGCATCTTTTCAGCTAACAACTACCCATTTGGCCGGACCCCGTCTAAAGGGCAGTTTTTGATTTACTAACCAGCCGTTTTTTCAAGATTTTAAATTAAAAATTAAATTCAAATTTCAGATTAATTAAAAAAATTAAAAAATTTAAATATCTGGCAAAAAAAAGTGCAAAACCGCGTATCAACAAAACGCAAAACCGCGTATCGGCAAAATGCTAAACCGCGAAGGTGAAGTTGTAAAAATTATCTTCTAGAGTGTAAAAACACTCGTATTTCAAAATGGTTCTCTTTTTTATTTCACGACGAATGGATAAGGATTGAGCCACGGGCTTGTGTGAGCAAATCCAATTTTTGGCAGCCAATGTCAGTTACGCGGTTTTGCAGAATGACGATACGCGGTTTTGTACTTTAAACGACGCTATGTATTTCAGATTTTAAGTTTTTCTTCGCTATGAATCAAACGAAGTTCCCCGATTTCTGCTGACCGAGCAGTCATATTAAGCGCTACTGTTAAAATGATTACCATCTTAAAAATTTAACACCGAGATCGCACCATTAATGAATGCATAAAATCTTGTTTATCGTTTTTATCACTTTCATTATGTAAATTATATTTATTTAATATACACATTTTTCATAAAAGATTAAATTTCCAAGATTTACAACACTTTAAACAGCTTTACATTTTCTTTTCTTCTTGCATAAAAAGTGTGTATAGTTCAAAACTGTTTATATAGGTTTGTTAGTAAATATTTGCTAAATAGTTTTATATGTATGTATTGTTAGTTAATTTACAGCATTTTATTCAATGTTTTGAAAGATAGCAAAACAACAACATGAAAAGCAATTTAATAAAAGAAAATTGTAGCAATATAGAAAACAATGAAGGCATTTTGAAATCGCAAAATCTGAAACCCACACATCGAGGAGGCTAAATGTTAAGTAGGTGGGTTGCCGGTTCTATGCTTGCATGCCCTCTAATTTTATATGTATGATTAAAAATTCTTGCCACAATTTTGGAGTATGTGTTGCAAATTTTCTGATTCTACTCAATACCAGAAATGATTATTAAGGTACTTTCCATTTTATCTATTCTATTTCTTGTTCAAAGTGTGAATATACACATTTGTTGAATAGGTAATGAACTAGAATTTTTTGCAATTATGAAATTTTTTACAAACTCAATTATTATGCGTTTAATTTTTACAATACTAAAAGCCGCATATGTAGCTGAAGTGCCTTGTGCTGCATTCCCGACTCGGGACTGAGTCGAAGAAAGAGGCAGCGGACATAATTTGAAAAATAAATAAGCAAAAAATAAGGAAATTTTTAAAACAAAGATAAAGATATACAGTATAACGGTTTACAATAATAATCAAAGCATAATAAAAAGAAAACTATATAATTTTGGGGCTTGGATGATAATGGAATGTTTTTTTTTTTTTTTGAAATGTTATCCTGAGGAAATACATTTTTTGTTGATTATTGACATAAATTAAAAAATAATTCAGCACAAAAACATTATTTTCATTATTTGCTCTTGGAAAAAGGCAAATTATACTGCGAGTTTTACAAAGGTAGTTTTGAAAACTATACATATTTTTTACGCCGATATTTGCAGACATCGCTTGCTTAATTGTGAGAAAAACAAAATCAACAATAAAGACGACGCTGATGATATTGAAGGTGATGACACTGAGAGAATGTGGTCGATGCAGCCTTTTTATTTTTCTTTGCTTCGCTTCCATTACAATGCTATGTACATTTTCTATTGTATTTTTGTTTATTATAGAACTTCCGCTGACTGCACCTGCTAAACTACTGTGCTTGATGAAGGTGTAACTTAAGCCGTAAAATGGCAATGAACTTTACATGTGATTGCAATTTGAATTGGTATGCACTTGTATGATTTGTTTTGCTGTTCCCCGGCATACTGTCACCAAATTAGTTGGAAGTCGCTCGGCTGTTTACGTAGAATTGTTGAGCGGACAATAGAAGAGTAAGCACATAGATGCAAGCTGCGATCCAACAGTTATAGGCATTCTAAAATGAAAACCAAAAAATTTATTTAATGTACAGAATCATCGTTTTAACAAATTAGATTTCAATCGGAAAAGCGTTTGTAGGTGTTACGCATATTTATTGCAGCTCAAGACTATAAATTGATATGATCAAGGTCACGAACAATAGACTCGTGATTGTTTGATCGCACTTGACAGTGGCATTGAAATTCAAGAACTAATTTTGGCTTTGCATTTTACACCATACCTGGTTGTATGCTGCGTTGGCTGCTGTATAAAATTCCTCAACCGAATGAAACTCTTCACCGATGGGTAGATCCTCAATCAACGCAACGCTGTGTATAAAGAAGAATACTCCCATCAGTACCTGAAACAGATAAGTGGCCAATACATTTACACGAATTCATAGATAGGCAAGGTTTTCACAATTCCACTTTACAAACTATTGCAGCATATTTTTATTATTTTCGTCTGTGGCTTTCCGTTGGTTACTCACCAATTGTATGATTCCCCAGACGGAGATGATCAAACCGCAGAGCGACAATTTGGGACCACAGATTTTCATTTTGCTGCTGTACTCGTTAGTGTGGTGCTGAAAGGTTGCACTGTGATTTTTCTTCCTGAACTTCGATAGTTTTCCACGGGGAAAATCTACAATTTTTCAGCCGTCGCCCAATTGCTGTTGAGGAAATTTGCGAAGAAAAATGTCAGTCAGGTGAAAAATGTAATCACATGACAGCAGTGCGAGTGCTGTCGGGTTTGACGATTGGTAGTGGGCATTTGTTTCGCTGGCTTTTCAATTGAGAGATTTCTGCGTAATGACAATGTTTATATAGTAATTCAGTTTTTTGTAACTTGCAGTCCTTTGTATTAGTTGCTGCATGATTTTAAATTTTATTATACATATTCCTGAAATTTATATCCAGTATTATCCAACCAGGAGTGGTATTGCAATTAAAATGTAAAATAATAACTACCGTCTGGTAACACTTTTGGAGATTTTTGATTCACAATGGTAGAGTTTGAATTAAGGGTGGCAGTGGCAAAAATAGTTCATCGATTTATTACTTTGATTCGATGCATTCAAATGAACAGAATCGATATTTTTGACTACATCGATGCATCGAGTTGTATGGGATTCTTCAGAAATTATTTCAGAACAAAATAGCATACATAAATTGTACGTAATTTCAATTAAATTACTCTAATGAAGCTAATTATGTTTCAAGCGAAACTTGTGTGTCAGTTCTCAAAAAACATCGCTGCAGTGAACAAAATGTTCGATGCATCGAAGAAAAACATCGATATTTTTGATGCATCGATGTTTTTCCGACTTTCCTATTCCAAATACAACGAAGACAAATAAAATAAAGAAAATAATAAAGTCGAGAACAACAAAATCCAAAGTAATTAAAATCAAGTAAAATAATCAATGACTTCGACGCATTAGCTTCATAAGCCTGAGGCAATATCCATAGAACCACAATGCCAACAAACATCTACCACGAAAGACAGACCCGCCAGTTGTGCGCCCTTCATACACTCAATAATCTTTTCCAAGGTAGTAGTTTGTTGAATCATTACTATGCATTCGGTTAACTTATTCATCATAGGTCATGAATCTTATACAAAAGAACAGCTGGATCAAATATGTAACGACCTCAGTCCCAACGTTTGGATCAATCCACATCGTTCACCACTAGGTTTGGGAAACTATGATATCAATGTTATAATGACGGCGTTGCAAATCCGGAATTGTGAAGCCATCTGGTTCGATAAACGCAAGTAAGTTAATTGTATTAGAATTGCAATTCTGAATTCATTTGTTTAAATTGTTCTGCTCTCTAGAGACCCGTCCTGCATCAATTTAAAATCCATTGTCGGTTTCATTCTAAACGTGCCTTCAGATTACAAATTCGGATTTGTTACGTTGCCATTGCAGAGGCGCCATTGGATAGCAATACGGCGAATCGACGACAAATACTATAATTTGGACTCTAAATTGCGAGAACCTGAATGTATTGGCAATGAGACTGAACTACTATCCTACTTGCGTTCGCAGTTGGAAACAAATAAACGTGAACTGTTTGTAATTGTGGAGAAATCAGTGGTGGTTAGTGAACATCAACAGCCATATTGGTTAAACGGAGAACCAAATGGAATACATCATAGTAATATCAACGAGTCAGACTGCACAACCTCAACGTAGAAAGAACGTGTAGCACTTTAAAAAGCTCTCTAGTCGTTTTTTCTAATGTAATTAGAAAATACTTTTAAGTAAAAATGATACAGCTCAAATGTGAACATACATATTTCGTGCAATTAAAATTTTCCATATAATGCTGGAATACTATTTTCACAAAGTAGTTCTTAAGGGTCTTAAAATGAGTTCACGCTTTTACTGTTGCGGATTGGCGTGACATAAAATGAACAATTATCGAACAAATGCGCATAACGACTTAACAAATATTTTAGTAATGCATACTTTGTTAAACACATTCATTCAATCTTGAAGTAAAACTATACATATTAATTGTCTATTTAAATTTGTGTGTAAAAACTTTATTAGATTCTGTAAAAATTATACATAAAAGACATAATTTACGAATAAAACACTATCGAAACGCAATCAAAGTAAATTTTTTTGTAAAATATAAAACCATGTAGAAGCAATATTCGAGCAGAGATATGTAGGTATGTATGTTCGCCAACTTTTGTTATACGTGTCGCTAAGTCGTTATCTAAACATACTGGTTTTGTTTAACTTAATTATAAAAAATATTTATGGAATGTATACCGAAAGCATACCTATTATTTCGGCAAAATAAAAGAAATGGACGGTGGTTAGATACTTCGATTTTCAAATATGTTATACATCACCGAAGTATTTTTCAATTTTGTGCTTGAACTTGAAGCCTTGAACTTTTTATTTTGACGACACATTTGCGCTCAAATATCTGTTTGTATGCCTCCCGGTGTTGGAACAGCAGCTGCCGCCGCAGCAGCGGCAGAAGTACTCTGACCAGGAGGTGGACGTCTTGGTCTAGAAGATGGCTCTGGCGCGAAATACTGTTGAGCCTGTTGCTGGTAGTAATCGTCGGAGGGTCCACCATATTCACTCACTTCACGATTACTGATTTCATTTAGGTGACGGTAACGTTCCCGGCGCGCTTCCACTAAATACAATATACCTGCTGGTAGCAGCATTACGCCACCAACCACAGCTAGTGCAAATGACCAGCCCATATCGTTGTTTTGCCATCCCGGCATCCAATCTCGTGAGTCACCGTTTGCACCGAAAATCACAACCGCAATAAAACCGAATATGGAAGCGATTACCTGGCAGGAACCAATTGTAAGAAGTAGGACTACGTAACGATCGTCATCCCGTGAAGTGCGCAAAAAGGCCAAGGTCAGTGGCAATGCAATAAGGCACAGGACAAAGCATAGTGTGGCAAACGCTTGGACAGCAACATAGAAACTTGGCAGCAGAAAATCGTGGATAATATAATATTCCTCTTCGAACACCCACATGCAACCCCTGAAGACGACATCGTAAAAGCGATGTATATCCTGGAAGTGATTAAAACACACCTCCCAAAGGCCAAGATGTGTAAAGCGTGGATTCGCAATGCGTCCATCTGTGACCAGCCAGTACGGTGACACGAATGCTATTAGAAATAGAAGAAAGGATAATGCTGAAACTCCAACGGCTATGCGAGTCGTACGATTACTGGCGCCCATTGTTCTTTAATACTTGAAAAAGATTATTTTCGTTTTAATATGATTTTTAAGAGAATAAACTATAAAATTCCCCCTGAAAACAAACTGTTTTGGTTGCTTTTCCACGCCCAACTAGAAAGTCGTGATGACACACTGGTGATAGTGATGCCGTATTAAGTGTTTTGTTTATCCCCCTATTCTAACAATATCACAAAACTCAGCGCATCACTATTGTGAATTCTACTGCGCCTGAAAATATGCCATACAAATTATGTATCTCAAATTGAAAATATTAAAAGGTGCCAATAAAAAAAAAATTACTTTAAAAATCCATTTAGAAAAACTGTCGCTGAGTGTTCTTTGCGTTTTCTTTTTTTCTGAGATAAAAATTTCGATTAATATGTACAACATTGATACCATTTCGAAATAGCTGGTTTGTTGCCGTGTTTATCAAGGGTTAGCAGATTTTATTGTAAAAGCGCGTTTCTCCGCCGCGCAATTTCGACACTATTCTCAATTCAAGCTGAAATCGCGATACGATTTTGATTTGGCCATACAAAAAACTGTCACCTGAACTCGCGTATGTATCTCAAGACGAAATTGCCCAACCTCATGAATACAACTCTGAAAATTGCTTATTGTGAATTACTAATGAGCTAAAAGAAGGAAAACAAACGTCAATAACAAGCAAATAAAAACAAAACAACCAAGCTGAGCAAAACAAAACTAACAAAACAACAACCATCCAATAAACAAACTGTCATCGAAATTGAGATAGCTGTGTAAACAGCTACAATCTCAAATTTAAATTGATTGTCGAAATTTCCAAAAGCCCAATTTCGGGCTTGTGGGAACAGACTTTAACGGCCAATTTCAAATGAATATTTAAACATCACTTAAGTTTAATTGTGGATTGTTGTTGAAGGGCCAATTTCATAATGAAACACTTAAGGTTCCATTTACAAAAGTTTCCTTTCAGTTAAAGTGTAATTTAAATATACTTTAAACAAGAATTTTTTTCATAATACAATGTCAATTGAATAATAACAAAAGGTTCATATAAATGTAAATAACAATGTCGCAGAACGCCCGCTTACCCTATCATCCATTGTGACTGATTTATATTTTCGAATTCTTCATTTATCATATTTGCTTTGTATTCACTTCTTATTGTATTTGCTTTGCTATGTATAAATTTGAAGTTTGCCTTATGTATGTACATACATAAACACTTACATATGTACAATTGAAATTTGCTTATATACATATGCATGTACAATTTGCCGTTATCCTATTTTGGATGAATTTGAATTCATATACTTATGTACATATTTTCGCTGCTGTGAGTTTGCTCCGTCTTTGCCTTTTACTTGCCCAACATTCGTTGGTCAGCAACCGGAGTAACACACAGCAAAATAAACCGTTCCGTTCTTCGTACAAAATAGTAAATCAAAGACTTTTATTTTTCATAGTAGCTGAATTCTGAACGCGTTAAATTTGTGAATAGCGGACCAACGACTACAAACAAAGTTGGCATTGCTGATCTCGGCAAAATTGCATCAGCTGATTGTCGTAAATATGTATTTGTGCTACGAAAATGACATACTATTCTTTCTTACAAAAGGGACCTTTACGTCATTTAAATTTCCATTTTGGGTATTTAACAAAAGAGCCTTTATGGGCACCTTTAACTTTAAAGTGGCTTTATGAAATCGATCAGCCAAATAAAGCATCCCTAAAATTTTAAGGTATTCTTTAATCTTATTAAGAAATCGGCCCTAAATGCCATTTAGCTTTTGTTGGTTTTCAGATCCACTTTGTTTAAATATGCCAAACAGTTGGCAGCACTGCTGCTTGCTCCTTGAAATCGTTGTTGCATTTGCTGTCTTTATAAATGACCTCACCAAAAACCAGAATAAAATTTATATTTTGATACATATGATAGAATATAAATAGCCAATGGAGACCGCTCATTGCTCTTCAAGAACAATATATATTAGAGCTTATATATTGCCATCTATTGCCAACAACTTGGTAGTTTGACAGCTATATGCTCATTTGCATAAAAACTTCGTGGCGGCAACTTTATTGATATTTTAATATAAAAGCAAATATTGAGCTGTTTTCTGTTAAAATGTTTGTTATTATGTAATTGGATGTAAAGTAGCCTATTTTCGGCAGAAATACGTTTTGGAAGCTATTTCACAAATGCTTTTATCAAGATATAAAAGCCCACACAAATATTGCCACTGATATACCTTATATCTAGCGACCAAAATGACAGCTGGACAGCAATAAATTTTATCCTGTGGAGACAGTTATATCAGTAGCAATATTTGTGTGTCGGCTTTTTATATCTTGATATAAGCATTTGTAAGGGCACTGTCACACGGTCAGTATTTATTGACGTGATCCAAGTATCGCGATATTTATTGACGTGTAGCATGCAGTATTGATGGATCGTGATCCATATCGCAAAATTTCTAAAAATTTTTAAGTCTGGATCGCAGATCGCGATACCGTCAATAAATATTGAACGTGTAGCATAGCGATCCATACATTCGTCAGTACATCTTTTACTCTCATAATGTGAACATCGGCTCTGCCTTTGCTCTCGGGGCTTAAAATCTTTCAAAACAAATTGAACAAATTTTAATTAACATTGGAAATTTTAAAATAATTGTGGAATGCATTATATGTAAATTATATGTACAAAATAAAAATATTTTTTTGCGTCATAATAAGCGTTCAGCACAAAAATTATGCAAATACTGACGCGATAAATGTTGAACATGTAGAATTCGTGCGCGATCCATCAATCCATAAATATGGATCGCGATCTAAATATCGTGATAATTACTGTGACAGAGCCCAAAGATAGCTTCTAAAAGGTATTTTTGCCGAATATAATCGCTTAACAAGTTTAGAAAATCTGCTATTTCATATGCAAATACATTATAACAAATACTTGATTAGAAAATAGCTCAAGTTTTGTTTTTATATTAAAATTTCAATAATGTTAACGCCATGAAGTTCTCGTGCAAATGAAAATGCAGCTCTCAAACTACCAAATTTCCGGAAAGAGATGGCAAGACATAAGCTCTGATATATATTGCTCTTAACCCTGCGTCTTCATTTGTGATCAGCCGTCTCATGCGTACTCTTATTTTCGGCAACTTCTTTTCTGGTGTTGCCCGTTGCATTCACATAGAGCAGAGCGAACCGCTAACTTGAATTACTCAGATGAACGAAAACACAAAGCTTGTTGCCCGAGCACTAGCCGTGGGTAGCACAGTGCAGCGCCGCGACATTGCGCTGATACCGATAGCTGAGGTAATGGCGACGATACCGATTTTACAACTCAGTGACGCAATGGCGCCAGTAACACCGGATCACTGACAACACCGGGCGGCGCAAAGAACCAGTAAATAACACACAAAAGCGAAGTGTCACTTGAAAAATGTGCAGCACAAGGAGAATTTTTACAAGGTGGTGTTGCTAAAATTAGCCGCGGTCCTTCTGAATGTTAAAACTATGTGTTTGTTGTATTTTTGGGTTTTGAACTTGCGTATATTTGAGTTGTTTTTGCCCAACCGATACCACCTTGTATTAATTCACCTTAGTTCAGCACCAAAACACTGACAACACCGGGTGTAGCAAAGAACCAGCAAAGAACACCCGAAATAGAAGTGTCTCTTGTAAAAAGTGCATCACAAGGCGAATTTATACAAGGTAACGCCCAAGTTTTATGTGGATGGGCCCTATGTTCCATGTGGGCCGGCTTACAGTCCACCATCGATTATTACCCGCCGTCTTCACCACCAAAATAAACTACTCTGAGGAATTCTGCAAATGAGAAGCCAAACAAAAAAAATTACGGTTGAAAGCAAGAAAAAGCTCAAAAACTGCTGGTTATGTTAGAAAAAAGTATGCTTCATGCTCCTGACGGTATAAACGTCCGAGATGTCGCATGCTTAGTCACGCAAGCGAGATTTGCAAGCACGTGAAGACGGCTGGTAAAATATCGACAATATATGCCTTACCATCGATAATATCGAGTACAGATAAGTATCGGGCATATCCAGTTGGAGACGCATCTGATTTTTTTAGCTTTTGGCAAGTTATTCTCCTATAAGCATTGAAAAATGTATTTTTAAAAGGGAAATATTGTGATTTTATTTATTTTAAAACAAATTATAAGTATTAAATGTGATCGTGAACAAATATCGGTCGCTCTGGATCAGTTTAAAACCTTGGGGGTACTTTGAAAAACAACCTTCGATTGGATATCTCTACCACCAGACTGTTTGTGCAAACCGACTCATTCACATATACATACGTAAAAGCAGTCCATTCAACTTTTGTAAAAACCCACAGTGATTAATAAAAGGAACAATGGCTTCCGATATAGAAATTGCAAACCTCAACAACTTTGAAAAAATACAGAACTTTCTCAACGATTCGGCCTATAAAGAGATACTGGAGAATAGCGAGAACTTCAACACACGTTTGTGCATTGAACGTCGACTGCGTATGCCGTTTTTGGATCCGCAGACGGGTGTCGCCCAAACCCATTGTGCGCTATTCATGAAGCAACGTCAACGTATGCCTGGCTTCCGCGATGGTCAGATCTACACGTATCCATCAGCTCGGTGGCGTAAACCCAAACGCCAGTACTTACTTAATCATCATCACAGCTATAGGGCATACCAGTATCGTGAGCCTCACTATCACCAATCAACCGGTAATACATCGGCGCGCGATCATTATCAAGCAGAAAGTGCAGGTATGTACATAAATACATATGTATATAAACTATAAAAGGCTTAAATTGATACGCATATGAAGTCGTAAACGCATACCAACGCCTAAACTGATTAAAAGAGGAAAAATCAATAAGAACGAAATTGGGTAAATTAGCAACTTGCCAACAACTGGTAAACATTTCACTTTTACCACAGCCAAAAAAGAACCCGCAATGTAGTTAAAAACTCTTATCCTTAAGTTGTAGCGAAACTTTTCATCTGTAATTTCCTTGTTTGTATGTTTTTCTATCTTCTGTTTCCAGCTATCGTCGCTGCCGACGGCAATTCAATGAGCGCTTCGGGCGATAACGACAGTAAAGATTCTCACGCCAATGCTGAAAAAGATTGGTTCCACGAGGACATAGATATGTCTCACTATCACCATGTTGATGACTTCGAAGAGGACTTTGAATCGGACAATGATTTCGATGAATCGTATAGTAGCCGTGGCAAACGTAAACGTGGTTCACGCTCCGCTCGCAGGAGCACTGCTGCTGTCGATGGTACACCAAAGCGGGGTCGCAAAGGAGGCGGTGTGTATCACGTGGCACATGAAAAGCATTTTATGAATTTTAAAAGTCATAATTACTTGTTTTCTCATGCAGGCAGTCGTCGTCGCAATAATGCTGATGGTGAAGGCGGCGGCCGTCGACGTGGTGGCGCGAGCAATGCCAACAACAACAATGCAAACACAGCTGCTGCTGCAGCCGCAGCTGCTGCCGCTGTTGCTGCTGCAGCTAGTGTCGTGGCCTCCAGCATGGAAGTGAGCAATTCGAATTCAGCTTCTCCAATCGGTACAAACGATGAAACATCACAGTCTGCAATAGTAATACCACCTGGAACGCCAACTGCTGCTGGTACAACATTTGACAAGACTTTAAGCGAAGCTAATGTAGTTGCTGCTGCTGCTGGAAGTGTTGCTGAAACCGCAACGCCTGTACTACCCAGTACAAGTGCCGTTAGTGGTGCTGCAAGCGCTACCACGGCACCATCCGTCACTCCTCCAACGACAGTAGCAGCAAGTGCAGTCACACCACCAGTAGTAGCCGTTACTGCAGTGAAGAAAGATCTTAAAAATAAAATGCGTGCTGATCGTGAGGTTGCAACTCCTTCAACCTATTGCGACTTCTGTTTGGGCGATCAACGCGAGAATAAGAAGACCAACTTGCCGGAGGAATTAGTTTCGTGTTCGGATTGTGGCCGCTCCGGTCATCCATCTTGCCTACAATTTACACCAAATATGATAATCTCAGTGAAGCGTTATCGCTGGCAATGCATCGAATGCAAATATTGTTCCATTTGTGGGACTTCGGATAATGACGATCAATTGCTTTTCTGCGATGACTGCGATCGTGGTTATCATATGTATTGTTTGTCACCTCCATTGATAACACCACCGGAAGGATCATGGAGCTGTAAACTTTGTATGGAAGAGTTCCATAAAGATGAGAAATAATGGAACTACACAATGGAGCAACGACTTTCGATGAATACTGCTTCCAATAGAACAGCCACAATGAAAACAGACGGAGTTGAATTGATGTACACCGACTTCTGGACTTTGTTGATCTTCTGAAATTGACACGAGAGAGTTGCATTGATTCTTTGGTCAGCAGTTCTCGTTTAGAATTTTCTATTTGATTTAAAGAAATACGTTGCATTAAGGGTTAATAATACTTAAACTCATTTTTTTTATCACACAGCGCATCAGGTATTCCTTAGCGCCGCTAACTCAGTTCACAAAACCTTGAATAGTTTACATGCAAACTTTGTTTTATTTTAAAAATAATAGTATAAGCTGAAAACTTCACAAGACGGCAACTTATCGTATGTATTTTAGATTTTAAATTAATCTTAAGTTATCATGTCATTTATGCCGCTAACAATCTACGCAGTTGGCTCCTTGGTAAATTAGTATTGCATTAAGCATCGCCCAATTCATCGTCCTCAAGTATTTTAGTATATTTCTTCTATGTATATTCTTGTAAATTTTGTTTGTACTAAATACAAATAGGTATTGTAAAGTGTAATTGGCTTGATCCTATTCGTAAGGTTTTCTGCTTACGTAGTTAATTTCAAAACAGTTTTGTGTTTATATTCAGACAGGTTCTGCAATTCGCTTCCGAGTGTATTTCAACCACTGCCAATTTGAATTCAAAGCGAATTTGATTGAAATTCATTTGGAAGTTAATTGCAGAACCTGCCCCATTAAAATAAGTTCCTTTTTCCAAAATATGTATTTCTGTAAAGATTTCTAAGCAAAACAAAGTACCACAAAAATATTAATTCGAATAATAAATCCATATACAAGCATATATAAGCAAATAACCGTACGATCCAATGGAAAATAATGTATTTCATAAATATTTATTGGAATTTAATCGCCGTCATTGAGCAATAATAATAAATCATGACTAAACCCAATGAACTTGTTTTAAATTCATTCAATTACCAAGGATTGTCTTTAGTAGCATATTATTGTTGAAACATAATGGCAAAGGATTCCAACGGAAATCATAACTATAATAAGATTCAAAATATGCCTATTTTAATTACATCGATATGTGGAAATTACCTCTAATGAGCATCGTTGAGCTTGAATACAAATTTCTATTGTGAATACGCACATGGAGCTACAGCTTGTACGTCAGTCTTTTTGTGCCATTTTAACAACTCAAGTTGAAAATAATTTTTTATTAATTTGAAAATCGCTTTTTTCATGTACCCATTTATAATTTGTATTGTTTAATTCTTAACATTTTTTTTTTTAATAAAATCTACAAAAAATTAAGATTTATAAAACTGGCAGCAACGTTATGGAAGATAAATCGCAAATGCAAAAACAACCACAGATGCAGCAGCATAAAGAACCACAGCTGCACCACCAGCAGCAACAAAAAATGCAAGCAGACCAACAATCACAAGATATCAATATTAATGAGTCGACGGCAGATGAAACTTCACACATGTCCATTCAAGAAGGATGTGAGCAAGTTGGTATTGAGGCTAACGCTGGCGTTGACGCCGCCGTCTATGCTGACGCTGAAGTCGAAGCGGAAGCGGAAGCGGAAGCGAAAGTAGAAGCGCAAGAGTATTTGAATTATGAGCAGCAAGACCAACGTCACCACAACCACAACCGTTCGCACCGGCAGTATACCTCCAAGAAGAGTGTTTCCTTCAAGACCTTAGTCGATATCTTTCAACTAAGCGACGCTTGGCAATTGCATGTGAAAAAGAGTAGCTTGAAAACGGAAGAGGATCAAGCCAAACGTCGCATTTTGCAGCGCAACTACTAAGCACCTACCATACGATCGTTTCCGCATATAATACTAGTCTGCGTTGTGAATTGATTAATGGAAATTATTTTTCTTTGCTTGAGATAGTACAAAAATTCCATGTGAACTATTAATTTGTGTATATAATAATAGATATATTCGTTTTTTTTTTTATGTACGTATGAATGTATATCAACGGTGTTTAAACGCTCGCATATACCGCGCTCTTTATTTTGCTATCAATTCGTTTTCGTCAACTCGGTTGCAATAAAAAAAAAATTAAAAATCAATATGTAGTTAAAAAGCTGGAGAAAATAAAATGTGGCATGCATGTAAAAAAATAAAATATATATCGACAATGTTATCTTGGACCGTGTTTACTTACGCGACTTTAGAAGCGTTAAGTTCTCGCTTAGTGTATGAGTGTGAAATCACTGCAAAGCAATTAGCATTCGCACCTTGTTGGTGTCGGCATGGTAAACATGGTAAACATTGTAGCATATTTATGCATCGTTTAAAAAAAAAAAAGACTTTGAGGAAAGGTATTTTCTTTTTCTTAAATTAATGCATTTCGCTTGTGTGGTTTTGGTTTGGTTTTTCTGCATTAGTTGATCTTAGCTGCTCGCAATGGGCTGTTGTATTTTATGCTTCTTGTGTTTTGTGGTAATTTCTATAGGCGGCTGTATGCTGATAAATGCCAACGCATTGCAGAGGAATAAACGATTTCTTATTTTTCCTCGACAAGCGCCAACGCGTTACCAAGTAAAGTACATTTTTTCAATTCAAAAAAGTTTGATCCCTATATATTGTAATTTAGGGCCGTTTTCTCAAGTAGGTTTTAAAAATTAACTGTCCTTTTGTTCTGAAAAAATGTGTTTAAGGGCAGACAAATTTTAAAACCTACATGAGAAAACGGTACTTAGTAATTTAAGTTTAAGTCGGCTGAAATGAAAAAAAAAATCATCCTGTGTTGAGCAAAAATACATATTGCGGTCAAAGTAATAAAATATATTTAAATTTTTTGTTTTGCTTAAAATCAGCCAGATGTTTTAGTAAACATATAGCGGTTAATTGAAATTAAAAAAAAAACTTGTTATGTGTAAGTCATCGACCGAGAATGCGTTGCGTCTTTGGTTTAGTTCCGCATGAGAAAACAAAATGTAATGACAAGCATGATACAAATATAGTAAGGTAGAACCGCTGAGAGTCACTTTTAAGATTCTTGACGTTTCCAAACAATTTAATTTTTAAATTTACTCACAAACTCACACACACATTTTCACTTTCAATCTCAAGCAACAACAATTTCGAACAATTTCAATTTTTTATTTTCACTTTTATATGATTTTAAAATGTTGGCAAACTTCAAAAAAAAATCATGGCCGACAAATTGAGAGAACGGTTATACCTTGCTATGTTTTTATCATGATGACAAGGACGTTTCCCGCAAAGAACCAAAAGGGGAAAGAAAATATTGAGAGCATTTTGAACGGGAGTAAAATGAGAACAAAAAGTGAGAACGAAACTTTTGGCAACGTTTCCAATAAGAACGAGAGTATCAAGGACGTTTTCAAAGAGGATAAAATAAGAAAAAAGTCGGGGGAACGTGCTTCTATAGAACAAAACGAGAATTTAAGTTAAGAATGAGAGAGGCATCTGCGTGTTATGTATACGAAAAATCGTTTGAGTTAGAACCATGATTATTAATTCTAAGCCAGAGGAAAGCTGGATCATTTCAACCTGCAGCTCGTTTATCATTAGGGTAAACTGTCCATTTATGGAACCAGTTTTGAATTTCTATGCAAGAAAAGTTCGTGTCTTAAGTCTTTCGTTGACTTAATTTGCATAACTACCTTTCAGCTCTTTTTTGATTATTAATTTTAATATTTAAACATTTCGAACTATTGCAATGCTCTGTGATAAAAATTTGTCCGCGCTTCCATTCTTCGCGAATAGTTCAGAGAAGATTTGTTACCGTTTTATTCTCTATCAGAAAGTTCCTGAGGCTTTACTTCACACATTGTTTTTCGAAAGAAAGTTCCTTACACTTTTGTTCCCGTTTTGCTCTTCGCTAGCACGTTCCGGTGATTTTGGTTCCCATTTTGTTCTCTTTGTTCTCACTTTCGTTTTTGTGAAAACACTCCCGTAAGGTTTGTTTCATCAGCCCAAAATTTGAAAAAGTATGTATTTCAAACATTTAAAACAAAAAAATTACTCCAATAGTTTATTGGCGGCATTGGTATACCAGCAGATCTCGACTATGAGTCGCTTACCGTTGGTCATGTGTTGAAGGCCGAATATTGGCTGCCCTACAATGCGACAGTTTTTCGAGAAAATCCCTTTTGGCCAGAGTATAGAAATCCGTACAACGCTACATTTCCCATGTATGAACAACAGCGACGATCGACAAAATCGACACTGCGTTGGAATTTGTATTCGTTAATAGCGAATCGACTGGAAAGGTAAAGTTACACACAGACAAAATGCATAACCTTTTTTTTAGGGAATTTTTTTCAAGATTACAACTAAATAAAAAGTGAAATATTTTTGTATTGTATGTACTAGGGCTGTGCGATTATTCGATTACTCGAGCAAGTTGGTTAATCAATTATTCGGTTAATCAATTACTCGAGTAATCAAGATTTTGATTACTCAAAACGATGATTAATCGAGTTACTTGAAATATGATTACTCAAAAAAAATAATTTTGCTCGTTAAAAGAGTTTGCTTTGGAAAATGCTTATTTTCTTTTTTACATTCTGTATATAAAAAATTTTTTTTGTTTTAATTTTTGAAAACAGAAACGTTGTTTTCAAAGTATCAAGGAACTTTAACTACTTTATACATATGTAAAGAGTTGAAATGTTGGTTACTCATTTTACTCGAAATGTTGATTAATCATAAAGCAAATTACTCAAATATTTTTGTTTTTGGTTAATCAAAAATCTTGATTACTCGAGTAACTGAACCTTTGAGTAATCATAATTTCCAATTAATCGAATAATTGAGTTATTTACTTTATGATTAATTAAAATTTTGAGTAATCAATTAATCGCACAGCCCTAGTATGTACATATTAAAGAAGTAAAAAAAAATTATAAAAATTTAGAAATATTTTTTATGGCAAAAAAATAGTAATCTCAAGAAAAGCAGTAACTTTTAAAATCTATTTGCAAGATTTTTTTTTTTGTGACTTTGGTAGATTAAAATAAATCTCAGAAAAAAGTGCAGAAATTGAAATTAAATAAATTGTTTCTTTAAAACCTTTATTGAAGGAGTACTTTAATTTTGATTAAAAAAGTTGTTTCTGACAAATGTCGTTTTCTCTTAAAGCTTTGGCTACAATGGTCTCGAATGTGTGCTGAAAGCGATTTGTGAAACGAGCTCGATAGGCTTTCAACGGCATCATGACGTCTTTGCAAAACTTATACATATCATTCTGAGGTAGGTATTTATTTTATATAAAAAAATTTATATACGATGTATGTATGTATTTACAAATTACACTTGATTTCTTAGCCCGAGCACCTCTGCTGACAAATCGACGGCGGAAAGTTCGCATTACAAGCAGGCTGAGAAAATTGGTAAAATAACTGGTGATTGTGACTTTTATGATTGTAAAATCAGTCTGTTGAATTTGATATCAAGAGTGCTCAAGATCGAAACATAAATGTTAATTAGACTAAGGATTGTTTCTGCATAAAGATAAGCCTAAAGATATGTACCATATAACTACAAATCGAATGTACTTATTGGGTACATATTTTCCCGCTTGTTTTTTTTTTTATAAAAATCCGCTGTCGAATGATTTTTGCTTTTCCGAAATTATAAATTTATGAATTTGGGTGTTAATTTTTTAAATCACAAAGTACTATTCAAAACAGTAATAAAAACGCAGGCTCCATTATAGTTGCTAAAAATTGTCGAAAAAACTAAAAAAAAAAAATATTTCTGATCGAGAAAATAGATTTTACTAAATAATGAGCCTATTTACTGAAAAAATACAAATTTAACGAATATCTTTAATTGAAAAATAAAAATAAAAAATTACGATTTTGCAATGTTCCAAAAATAAAAATTTTGTTTTTAGTGGTTATTTTGGGTAATACAAATGGTAAATACGACGCTCCTAACCTGAATTGTCACTTTTTTTTATGGGGGAGTTTTCGGGAATAAAATCGAAAGAATTTTAAAAATTGTTACTAGCTGTAACCGAGGCCCAGCATCGTATAAAACACGGAATGTTAAAAAATTTGTTATCAAATGTCTCTCAATCAGTTTTTAAGTTAAAACAATTTTTGAGAAATTGTGTAGTTTCAAATAATAAAGAATGCTCAAAGTCATTCAAGATTTTCTAAAACGTTTGAAATTTTTATTTGCAGTGTTGGTTGGGAACTCTCTTAGGACATCGAGTGAGTAGTATGTGTTGTGGTTTAAACGACCAAAGAAACACTTTCTCTTCCAACCCAATTTGACGGGAGCTAACCTTTATTCGTTCAAAAGTATATATCGTCGTTTAAAGTATAAGACCGCGTATAAAGAAGAGCCAAACCTCGAATGTGAGGTTGCCAAAATTTTATAGGAGAGCGTAATTTCCAAAAAAAAAAATTACGAAGAATATAGAAACTAGTTTTATGTTTTATTATCATATCATTATTGATTCTTAGGCAAAGTAGAACTGCCGTCTACAAACACTTTAAAGACCACAAATACAATCATTAAACATTTATCTTTTCTCTAATCCAACTTTAACCGCATTGGGTGTTCTTATTATTATGCCCGTTTCGAATTGCAGGTCCTTTGGATCCATTAACGCCAACACTTTGAACTTCCTTAATATAAAAACTAATAATGTTTTCATCTCCAGCATAGCAAATTTTTGGCCTAAAATATACGAGTATATTGTTTATTTTTATTTAAAAAAAAAGTGTTATAAAATATTGAGCAACAATGACGTCACCTATGCAATTTCGCTGACCAGCGCTAAAGGGTATATACGCATATGGATGCCTGCCTTCGGAGTTTTCAGGTGTAAAGCGTAGCGGATCGAATTTATTTGGTTCATCAAAGTACTTTGGATTGCGATGTATATCGAAAATATGTATGGAGATTTGTGTGTCCGCGGGTAGAAAAACATTATTGGCGAGATATGTGTCGCGTACCGCCTTTCGCATTATACCAGGCACGGAGGGATACAGGCGTAGAGTCTCCTTCACGAAACACTCCAGGTACTTGAGTTTACCCAATTGATTGACGTCTAAATTACTAAGATCATCTGTTGGAGGAAATAAATTGGATTGGAAAAACAAAATAATTATTCGACTAGTTCGACTTTCGTGGAATAGACTTTTCATAGATTTCACGAAAAATCCATTAACGAGGGATTCAGCGATATCTCCTATTGAAAATGTAAAATTTATTTCAATCTATACTTGCCATCGACATATTCGAGTATTTCTTGATAGCATTGCTCCTGCATTTTAGGAAACAGCGATAGATTCATTAGTGTAAATATTAGCGCCATCGATGTGGTGTCGAATCCCTCAAACATAAATGTGTCCACCTCCTCACAGATGCCTGCATGATCGATTAGTTCATTGCGCTCGGCGTGCAAGAGTGTATCCAACATGGCGTAGCGTTTCTTTTTGCCAAAACTATTGCTGGATGGAATAAGAGCACAAATAATTGGTATCGTTATGTATCACAACAAAAATAAGACATAACATTAGAATGTTTTAGAAAACCCGATTTATGTATGTAGGTATTTTTACAGGGTGCCGAAAAAAATGTTTACACTCCTGAAATACTCTCTTAGGCAGTGTTCAAAATTGCTTATAAAAAAATTGAATTTTTTTTACCCATACACCGTGATGTACATTAGACCGTACCACCTTAAAAGCAAAAAAAAAGTTCGCCGAATACCTCTGAGCCTAAAGTATTTTTGCAAGCAATTTCAAAGAAACAAAAATTTTTCGCAGAACCTGAAAATTCAATAAATTTCATCGGAGTTTGACCTTGGCATGACCTCCAGATGACCTTGAGGAATCAAGGGACCTCCATACTCGGTTTCAGTGACAACAAAAACAATTTTTTTTTTTTAGTTTTTATTGAATAAATTTTATGTCCTATTTGACCTTCAAATGACCTCGAAGCTGACATTATGGAGGTTAACGGACCTCGGATTCGGGTTCAGCGAATGTAAAACCTTATGTATATGAATTTACAGGTTTATTCAATGAATTTTTCCCTACTTGACCTTCAACTGACCACGAACCTGACGTGGTGGAGACTAACGGACTTCGGATTCGCATTCAGCGTGTCGAATAACATAGGAATATATAGGTTTGGTTTAATATGCATAAGCTTTTTTTTTGTAAACCTGTGTTATCTTAAAAACAGGTTGAAATCTTACTCCATTTCATTTGCTTCCTTTGTCGCATTATGTTCCAACTCCGCCGCAAATAGCTGACGCCGCTTATGAATAATATTGCTGGAGAATCCATGTACAGTTTTCAAATGTTTTTCCATTTTCGGCGCCATGAATACGTTATATATGGTATCGATCATATAGAATGGATTTCTGATGCGTGCGATAAATGCTTCTTCGATCATTTTGAAACTCGCACGATATTGCTGGTCATCCAGTTGTTCATCCAGTTTGACGCCCAAGGCGGCCTCTGTGAAAAAGAGCGAAAAACACATATGAAAACAACTACTCCATTAAAGGAGACTTTTATATTTGTGTATCCAAAAAGTTAAGAGTTATCAATTCGTCGTAATATTTTTTTTTATGTATATTACCACATAACTCTGGACCACGTTAACCGATTACTATAATTGTTTTTTTTTTTTAAGGAAAGGTGGTACCTTCGAGGTGGTCCCATACTAATGTGGTTTAGATCTGATCATTGGATCATGAAAAAATTAGCGATACTCTTATATTTTTATATGAGAATTGAAGTCGGTTTTGTTTTTTGCTTAAAAATTACTTGTTTGTTATTATTTACGAATTTCAATTACTTACCACAAACGCTATTTAATGTGAATTTCGGTATGATTTCATTTAAAGTGATTGAGTTTGTATCAATGCTATTTAGCTGGTCGACGAATTTTTGACTTTCCTCTCTAAAATAGGCAGAAAAATAATAATTTAATAAATTAAAGGTTGGATTTTGAGTTGATATGCTTTTAAATACAGTGAAACCTCGATGTAACGAACCTTAACGAAATAAAATTACTCAACATAACAAAATTTTTACTGAGTCGCTAGTTGCTGCGAAATTTTCCATACAAAAACGGTCCATAGAAATAATAAAGTTTGAGCATGACCGTTAAAGTCCCGCTAGCGAAAGCCTCCGTGTAACGAAATGTCGAATCTCAAGTTTCTACATTAGCGAATTCTGAATTTACTCACGGTTAGAGTTTGTTATAAAAAAAGAATTTTCACGATATTCTATATCTATGGCGAAACAAGACCTCCTATGCATTGGAAAGACCAGGTGGAGAAGGACTTGGCTTCACTTGGCATTTCCAATTGACGTCAGTTGGCACAGAAGAGAAACGTCTGTATTGGACTCGGCCAAAATCGTTTAGGCGGTTATAGCGCCAATAAAGAAGAAGAAGAGTGCAATAGATAACAACAATGTGGGTACCAAATTAAACATAGTACTTTGTTCAATTAAAAAAAATTAAATTTGTTGGGCTACAATTACGAACAGGTTTTAGCAGATAAAACTAAAAAAAGCTAAAAAAGGGCGAAATTCGAGGAAGTGATCGTGTATATATTAGTTCATAACAAAGAATTTTTTTTTAAATAAATATTGCAAATTTTCAAAGATATTGAAGGATACAATTTTCCATACCTATTCGTGCACCAACAAGTTTAAGCTTTCAATTTTACAGAAATTTTTGTTATTTTACATTGCCCTGAATTTTTTAAATAATTTTTGAAATCAATCATATTTTTGAAACTTCAAATTCCTTAAAAAAAATACTGACGTCAGAGAGAAAAACCAACAAGGCAGTTGTACTACCAGTATATGATTTTGTGTGTCAAATTGACTGTCGCACGGTGTTATCACTACATAATAAAAGTTATAAAAATGTATCATATTCAGTAATTACTCACTTGAAAACCTCCTCAAACTGTCCAAGTATATTAAAATGGAATGCAGGTGTTAATAATTTTCTGCGCGTTTGCCATTTTTTATCTAAAGTGCAGTAAATGTTGAGGTAGTTTTATTCAAAAATTTTTTCTTTTTTCGCATAAGCACCTATGTACCTGTTGATGTTAGCAAGCCTGTGTGCAAAAATGGCTCCAAGAAATAGTATGCTATGCCTTTGGTAATTAAATTCTTATCATTCAGCAGTAGTTCAGCATCTTCGGCGGTGATTATGTTATAAAAAGTCGTAAATAAACCATATTCTACATAACTTTTTCTCAAAGTTGTAGCCGAAATGCGACTGTTCTCGAATAGTGCCACTGTAAAGTAGATAAATTATTTAATAAATTTACACAAATGTATGTAAATATTTCCCCTAATATTTCGCTTCTAAAACGAACCATTATCAGCACCAAAACAATCGAAAACATTTGCGAATATTGTCTCTGCCTTCGCCTGAGGTACAATATTCTCCAGCGGCGTGCCGTCTACTGTTTTTAAGCGTTTTGCAAAAAATGCCATTACACAATAATCTCGATTGAGCTTATAGAGCCAGGCGGCAATAAAAGCCAGACCGGTAATGATTACGTAGAGCAACATCGAACGTGGAAGCTGTTAAGTTTGTGTTTTTATATGAGTTGCAATTTAATTTTTTGAAAAGAACAATAAACGCGCAAACCATTCGCCAGAGCGATGAAAATAAACTGAGCTTTTAGTTTGGCAAACCGGGAGAATTTATATGGGCTTTGAAGTAAGTATAAAAAGGGAATTGTGTATAACATCTAAAAATATATGTACATCTAACATAAATATACATAGATACATACATATATACAGATATCTATATACATATATGTGGGGGAGGCTTGGGCGCTAGCGCATTTGCTACAAACTTGTAGATGACTTTCATTTAACAAGGTATGTTGATATACACATGTATATGTATACATGTATGTATGTATATGTACATTAGACCGTACCAGAAATAAGCATTCGACGTCATCTTTGGTCTGTGTAAAGAATTTTTGCAATGCAATTTCGACAAATTTTTATTTTGCCGAACTTGGGTTTAGCCTATTGATATTTTTCGTCATATCTTCGCTATTTACAACGGATCTTAAAGTATGATATATCGATGTATTTGCCTCGAGAGGAAACTTTTTTTTGTTCCAAAGTCCATTGACCTCAATTACCCCGTTCTAGTACTTACTTACCATATCTCAGTTCCAACCACCCTAGTGTGATACCCTAATGCCAGTAAATGAAAGCTCGCCAAAAATCAATACAAATTTGCTAAAAAAGTATTTTTAGATTCCAGGCATATTTCGAATTTTTTTTTGCCAATCGGTAATGTTTCGTCATATCTTCGGCACTTACAGTCGGATCTTCAAGCATGATGTACATATGTATGTATGTATCGTTGTTCCTGCTTCGAGTCATTTTTTTTTTGTTCTAGTGTTCATTGAACTCAAGTACCCCGTTCTACATAGTTTTTAAATGTCAGATCTCAGTTTTTTTCACCTTAACGTACCACTCGAATGTGAGTAAATTAACTCTCATCAAACACGATTAAACTCTTGCTAAGGTAGTTTTTTAATTATTCCAATAGAACTGTTTAACTATTGTTGCTTTTCTACAAAAAAAAACTTCATTAAATAAACGGCCTCAAGCTCAATAAAAATGTTGAATACTATACAATTGTTCTGAGATAGGGTTTGAGGCACCTTCACCTTCTAAGTATACATTTAGAGGATGCTCATGAAATGTTTATATTACTCTAGTAATATTTTATAAATACGTATGTATATTAACCAAACAATTAGTTAGGCAACCTGAGAACATTTCAAATGTAGATTAGTTAAAAAAATAACAAGCTTCAGTTGTCATGACAACAGTCTCGAAGCGGATACAGTAGCGAATTTGACGGTCATTGAGCACCCTGCATTGGTTACATTAGAAAATTGAAAGTTGATATATGTATGTAGGTAGATATTACAGAAGTCAAAAGGAAAAAGCTAACAGGGTTCCCCGTTTTCTACGATGAAATTTTTCCCCCATACAATAATTGGACCACTCTAATGTACATACACTCAAGTATATGTATATATACAGATGTTTACTTTTTACATGAGTAATATAATTTACTGTAAGATAACTTTGTACCTACTATTATACACTATTTAACAAAAGTTAAGAACAAACGCAGACGGCAAGAACTAAACTTACAAAAATAAATCAACTACGTCATTTATTTTAATGCCATAAAGTAGTCAAAATTGTGTCTAAAGGTTACATATTTTTAAAGCTCAGCTTGTACACTTGCCTTCTATCTCTGTACTCTACGGATGCTTTTACTCTACGTAGGTGAAATTTACACACACACACACACAACATACATACAATGAGGCATTCTTGGTCAACTGAAGACGTCCTCACCCCAAAATTGGTTCAGATAAAAAAAAGACGGTTATAGTCTTGAAAATTCGGTAAAAATTGCGGACGAAAATGTTTAAAAATAACACTGGTCTACAAATTTCAACTTTTTTTCTGCGAATAAGACGGGACCTGGTGTTTCTGAACGGATTTTTCGTGCTGAACACGAATCCGGGGTCAAAAATGTCCCATCACGTCACGTTTTCGAGAAAAAAGGGGTTGAAACCCCTAAAAACAGCGTTTTTGGCCATTTTCGAAAAATTATAGAGCTGAACCCTGACGTGGTACAAATTTTGCATATATCAGAAATTAAAGGCTAAACCGTGCCCTTTCGAATGAGCCCTATGCCGAATTGATCGCGTGCACCCTTAAAGCAGGGGGTGTATTTGTGTTTAGGGGTGCAGGAAAAATTGATCACAGAAAGAATTTAATCTTAAACGATCATAGAAAATTAATAATGCCAAGGTTTTAACTATATTAAAAGTCGCTGATTACGAATCTGCAGTTAGATTTTAAAAATTTAAGATGACGGGTCGAATATGGTGGATATAAAAATTGGACTCCTAGACACAAATACACCCCCTGATCTAAGGGTGCATGCGATTAATTCGGCATAGGGCTCATTCGAAAGGGCACGATTTAGCCTTTAATTTCTGACATATACAAAGTTTGTAGCACGTCAGGGTTCAGCTCTACAATTTTTCAAAAATGGCCAAAAACGCTGTTTTTAGGGGTTTCAACCCCTTTTTTCTCGAAAACGTGACGTGATGGGAAGTTTTGGACCCCAGATTCGTGTTCAGCACGAAAAATCCGTTCGGAAACACCAGGTCCCGTCTTATTCGCAAAACCCTTGTAGACCAGTGTAATTGGTTTGATTTGAAATTCGTTACTCGAGGGATTTTGGGGTCGCATGGGGTCATCCGTTTTTAAAATGGAATTGGCGAATTAAATACACTTTTAGAAATGTTTCGTCCTATTGAATCCGTTATTTTGAAAATTAAGAATTAATGCTCAGATTTATAATCAGATACCTCAAAAAACCCGAGTAACAAGTTTTCAGCGAATTCAATACATTTTTAGAAACTTTTACGATAATATTTCCGTCTTGTTTCAAATAATGCAACTCATCATTCATGGAAAAATATTTTTACCGAATTTTTAAGTATACCCATTATTTTACCGGAACCAATTTTGGAGAGAGGGGGACTTAAGTTGACGAATGCTTCATATGTACTCGTATAAGTACGTTTACGTTTCAACTCACATTCCGATTTCCCATAAATGTGACTTGGTCTATTCTTTTCAAGCATGATCAAGTTCAACCTGGTTTTTCCATTAGAAAATAGACTCGTGGAAACTTTCGTTCGATGATTTAATACGACTTTCGACTTGGGATTACTGTTGACGTTGAGCAGCAACACCAACAGCTCCGAGAAAATTGGGAACGACCTCTCCGAGCCATTTAGATACCAAGTCTAGCTATAATGTCGAAAAATAGACAACCGTATTTACTTGGGAACCAACATTAACGCCAATAATGTCAGCCTTGAAACATAACGGAGAATCACTCTTGCCCACAAATGCTAGTATGGACTGAGTAGGCAATTGGGAAGTGAAATCCTCTCACGAGGAGGCGGTCCTTGGGGTGTTCGGGAGAAATATTTTACGGAATAAACATATATGACCTTTTAAGCATTTGTGTTGGCGAGTACCGGACGCTATGGAAAGATGAGATGTACGAGTTTACAAAGATATTAACATATATGTGTAGTTGAGTAAATCAGAATCCAGCGGCTATCGGCTTCGCAATTCTGCTTCCGAAGCACCAGCTCGGATGAATAGAGTAGCTACTTCCCAAGGAGTCGGTGCAGTAGCGGTCCAAAAGTACCGATTTACTCCAGCAGTACTAGAGGGTATAAACTATACGTTGGTGGTAACAAAAAAGGAGAAAGCCTCCTCTTCTTTGGATAAATCAGGTGGAGCAGCACTTAGCTTAACTCGGTGTTTCCAGGTGGCGCCAGCGAGCGAGAAGAAGCAACGGCTTCGCAGGATATGCATTGAAATGAGTGGGTGCGTAGTCTATGAAGGGGGCTGTCAAACCATTTCGGGGTCTTAATCTTAGGGCCAGTTTTTCAATGCTAGTTTAAGCTTAGATTAAGTAAACTGAGTTTAAATTGAACAGCTGGCTAACATTTGATTGGCTGATCGTAGTTTAAACTAGCCAAATCGGACGTTCAAACTAAGTTTAAACTATGGCCGTAGACTAAAAAACTTAATATAAACAAGGCCTCCTACGGTGGCGATAAGAAAAATTGATGATAGTGGCTCAGAAAAAAACCATGCCTGTAGCAGCCCGCCAGTAAATTAAAATGGATCTAAACCGATCTAAGAAAGACGAAGACGAGAGATGCATCGTCCCACAAAAATGGATAGGGAACTTATTAGAAAACATGAGCAGCCCGTTGTGAAAGTCGAAATGAACAATCCAGCGGTCTCTGGAAGCCCCACAAAGGGCAAAACGCTTCAAGCTACAATTGCAGTCATAGCACTAACTGTCGCGGGAGTAGCAAAGGATGAAATCCACGATATCTTTCGAATCGCGCATAGATCCACAGATGACGTTGTCTTTAAGGTCGGCCGAGATGATAAGACAATCCGATGCCTAAGCCGACAGCGAGGGACTAGCAGTTGATGGAATTGGCTAGAAGAAGAAGAGCGATGTTTTTGTTGTATCAGCATAACTCAACCCCCAGTGGTCTCGTCAAGTAGGGCCCTCTTTATCCTCAGAATCGGTGAGCCTGTGTACGAGAAAGCGGCCGTAGCCCATAACGCTTTCGATGTCAGTTTCGTCGGGTTGAAGGTGCATTTGAATATTTGTTGGGTACTGCGAGGATCTTGCGCTATAGCGGGGAACGTTTTTTTTATTTCCAGTTCAGCCGCGAGAGAGGTAGCTGTTGAGCCTGTGCTATGACGTATCCGGTCTCTCTTGGCAGTTCTGCTTCCTCAATATTTAAAGGGGCGGCGGTCATACTCCTAACACGATGTTTTTTTGCTGGTTCTGGTTGCTCAACAATGGTTTGTGTCGTTCCTCAGGTAAACTACGTACAGCTCTATGTCCGTTCTCTAGTCGTGTAGATGCCGTTTTTCACATCGGGGCGGATCGTTTGGAAGATAAATCTTTTTGGGGTGATTTCCTCGGTGATATCTTACAAAGAAGTGCTTAGATAACAAGATGTTGTATACTTAAACTGCCAGCGTCTTGGTTTCGTCGTGGAGGGGATGCTCGTGCGGCATCGGCCAAATTGCCAAAAATCAACGGAATTTTTTAGCCGCTTGAAACTTGCACTTCTTCAGACTAGCATTGAATGTGCTACAAAACTGCATACCAAAAAAGTTTCTAAAGATTCTGATTAAAAAGTTTGAAATTTGGGTGAAAAAT